GGCATATTTTTCTGCTGACATGGTGATATAGTCTGTTATATATTAATATCTCTAGAGCTTTTGAAAAATTGCACAATATTGATATAGGTCTAAAATTTGATACATCATTCCTACTGCCGTTTTTGTGTATTGGACATACTTTAGACAACTTCCATAATTCTGGAATTGTGCAGGTGGTAAGGCACAAGTTGAATAAAACGGTCAAAGGACACGCCAACACAGAGGCACAGTCACGCAAAATAAAAGCTGGTACATTATCCGGTCCGGTAGTCATCTTAGGTTTTATTTGCTTCAAGGCTAAGACAACTTCATCCTCCTCAAATCTAGTAATATTGAGTGGTTGTTCATTGCTCATTAAAAAGTCATCAGTTTCTTCGGTGGCTGATGAAGACGAGTAGTATTTGGAGAAGTTATCCGCAAAAGCATTTAATATGTCGTTCGGTTGCAAAAGTTCATTACCATTGTAAATCATCCTACTTGATAAGTTTGTTGATTTTCGCTTAGAATTTAAGCATTTAGTTTTCTAGGCCGACCACTTCTCTTAGAGGCTTCCAAGATACCTTTTTGTTTATATTTGTTCAATATTGCCCAAACTGCTTTATGCTTCAGCCTCAAATTTTTGGCAATGTCGACTTGACGTTGACCATCTTTGTATAATTCAATGATCTTCTTCTACTAATAAAGCATTTGTTTATGGAGCAATGAAGTATGAATTCGTTTTCTAAAGGTATTTAGGTAAATATTCATATTCGTCTATATACTTTTGTCCATTACTGTACATCTCGTAGAATTTTGTGCCTTCTGTCATCATGCAAGTATAACTCGCCAAATATGAACCAAGTTCTATTTATATCGAGACACCCTTAAAGTGTGCAACCTGATGTCAACCTTTATTTTTATATGAATGATTTGAGGCAGAAAAACATTGATCCAATTTCCTATATAATGAACTTCCTGTAGAAGCAAGGTTAATATCCATACATAAGCATAAACCCTAAAAATAGTTTCCCTGTTTGAACCTATCGCATACAGAATCGTAAAAATTAATCTGTTTATTCATGTAATTACTTATGATACCCTACCTGCACGAAAATGAATGATGGTGTCAGGTAGATTCACTCTGTACTTATCTATAAAGCAATAGAATAGTAGACTTCTGACCCCAGTAATTCTACACGCCTATTGCATATTTTTCAATGCAAAAATAATTTTTTGCTTTAACAGTGGCGTGCGTACGGGTATTGCCTTCGACATTTTTTGAGGAAAAAATGGTACGCCAATGGTTTTTTGCCAAACAAAAATAATTTTTGAATTCCCCGTTCAATTTAAAACAAATGATCTCTCTTGAATTGTTTTGTTTCGATGTGACATTTTTGAGAAAAAAAAATAATAAATTAAAATATAAAATAATAATAATTTAAGAATGTAATTTAGCAATAAATATCTAGTTGCTCTGGAATATGTCACTGGCTTTTGACAGCTGACAAGCCTCTGTTATTCAAATCTTCGGGACCTCGGTTGGCCGCGTGGGTCAGAGTGTCGTGCTACTGATCAGCCGGCCGGCCGGGCCGCGAGTTCGAATCTCGCCTTCGCCATGGATGTTGTGTGTTTGTTTTAGGCAGCAGCGGTGGCCGCAGTAGTAGACTCTTCGGTCTCCTGATCAGTCGCCGCGCGCTGTGCGGGTTCGAGTCCCGTACCAGGAGAAATTTTTCTCTTGGTTATGGATGTTGTGATTGTCCGTAGGTGGTAGATGGTCTCTGACTGTCGAACGCGGAGGTACCACCCGGCGGTTCTCGTAGGCGGAGCCAGAATGTGTGCATGTTGCATGCACACGTGTTCCCTCGCCAGAGTCCGTGTGGCGTCCCCCCTTTCCCATGTATCCCCCATAGCCCCACGGTACCCAATGGGTGCTTAGGCCTTAGGCCTTCGTGGTAGTTGGAGTATAAAAAAAAAAAAATCTGTCATCGTTGGTTGTCAGAGCGGTCCGTGGGACCTTTGCTCTTGAGTCACAGTGTCAGTTTGTAAGTCTGTCAGGTCTGGTAACCCAGAAACCAGACAATTTTAAGGAAAAAAGGGGAAGGAAAAGAGAGAAGGAAGAACGAGAGCAAAGGGGAAGAAGAGAATCTTTTAGGATAGGCAGCGTTTAGGCATTGTTAAAATTACTTCACAGATTTTGTGGTCTAAAAATATTCGATTTTTTCTGAAGATTTTGTCAAAATGCTGCGATTTTGGTTGTTCTAAGTTCACGAATGAATTTTGATTACAGTACGAGCCGCGGCCTTTTGTGCTTGCGAGCTTGCTCGATTGTGTAGTCCACTGACTCACGCAACAGAGGGTTGCTGTGCGATTCCGCTAGGCTATAGCGCCGCTGCGCCTGTTGCTTAATGTAGTCCTTTAGGTAAGGGACATCGAGGTCTCTATGTACAGTTTCGTTAGAGACATACCATGGGGCATCAGCAATAGTGCGCAACTTCCTGCTTTGCAGAACTTGCAGATTTCGCATGTGTGTTTTAGCAATAAAACACCAAGCCGCACATGCGTAAGTCATTGCTGGTCTTATGACCACCTTATAGAGTCGAATCTTGTTAATCAAACTTAATTTTGACCGTTTACATAATAATGGGTAAAGCTGCCGAAACGTAATTTGGAATTTAGTTTTTAGCGCTTCCATATGGTTCCGCCAAGTCATCCCTTTGTCCAGAATGACACCGAGATACTTAGCGGAGGATTCCCATGGTATACGAAGTCCATTCATTGAAACTTCAGACGGAACGCCGCGACGTCTCTTTGTACAGTAGATTGCCTGCGTTTTCGAATGGTTTATTTTAATTAGCCACCGATCCGCCCAATCTAATACTTCCTCCACCGCACTTTGCAGCGTGTCATGGACTAGGTCACCAGACCACGACTGAGCCACCAATGCAGTATCGTCAGCGTAGAGATAGACTTCACAGTTGCTGGGATTAGGGACGTCATGGATGTACAGTGAGTATAGGATAGGTCCAAGGACCGAACCCTGAGGGACGCCGGCTGTAATCAACCGACAGGACGTTGTCAATTTTGATCCGAAATTTCCTACCTTCAAGGAAGGATTTCAGTAGTTTTAGAAGCCAAAAAGGGAAGCCCTTTTGGATTAGTTTATACAAGAGGCCCGCGTGCCACACCTTGTCAAATGCTTTTGAGACATCCAAAAGCAAGATGCCAGTACTTTCGTTAAGGGTGAATCCTCTGGTTACACGTTCCACCAGCCTAACCGCCTGTAGCTCCGTACTATGTTCAGACCGAAAACCGAATTGCACGTCAGGAATCACATGGTGATCTGACGAGAAATTCTCAAGGTGACGTAGAATCACCTTTTCAGCGAGCTTAGATGCAGCTGACAGCAGGCTAATGGGACGATAATCCTGGGGAAATATCGAACCCACCTTCTTTGGAATCATTATAACTTCAGCGGTCTTCCACGCGGATGGGAAGTACTGGATCCTTATCATGGCATTGACTATTGCCACGAGATAAGTTAAGGACTTCCGCGAAAGCAGCTTCAGCGCCTTATTAGTGATTTGATCCTCCCCAGGTGCTTTACGCACTTTAAGGTCTTTAATATGACCTTGAATCTCTGCTGGTGTGCAATGCGGGATCTCAGGAGATACCGCTGATGTGCTAAGCAAATCTTCGGTAGAAGAAGCTTCTGAAGAAGAATCTTCTGATGAAGAAAAATCACCAACGAATGCGCGGCTGTCACTGACGCCGTTGGCCCTAAAATATCTCCTGACAGATCTTACGATGTGTTGCTCCTCGTCGAGGTCATTATCAAGATCATAGTTGGGAGAGAACTGTCTTTCCATGGCATCGGCGAAAACCTCAACCTTCTCCTCTGTCCTGAAGACAATGCCTCCAGGACCGTGAATGTGTGGGATTTGTTCACGCTTTCCGTTTTTGAGCGACTTCGCCACCTTCCGGAGAGGAATGCTTGAGTCAAGCATCCCCGCCAGAAAGTCGTTCCATTGCTCATTGCGGAATTCATGAAGAGCATTTCTTACTTCGTGAACAAGATTCGTCGCTCTGCGAATGTCATCAGGATGAATCTGTTCGCTGTGACATCTTTTTCATTATTTAGTTTTTACAATCTTGTTAATAATGGTGAATTATTCAAATAAAGAAATGGGATATATATATATATATGTATATGGCCTTGCCGACGGTAATGGTGAGCAAGCCAGACGGATTTATTACCAGAGATATCCCGATCGTGCTTTGCCAGATAGTCGAACCTTTTCTAATATTCATCGTCGTCTTGTTGAAACTGGTTCTGTCCAAAAAGGAACATCTGAAGGTAGACCTCTAAGTGTGAGAACACCTGAAATTGAGAAAACAGTGCTGCACGAAGTCGAAGAACATCCTGAAACGAGTACGAGGAAGATCGCTAGACACTTAAATATTTGCCATCAAATTGTTTGGAGAATTTTAGTCGATTGTTTGTTATATCATTACCATATTTTAAGAGTACAGGCATTACTTCCCATTGATTTTCCAATGCATTAAATATAAACAATCAGATAGGGTGTGAGATAACGAATAGATGTTCACCAGTCTTTTGCAAATATGAAGATATTTTGTGGAATGAAGAATCTTATCTATTTTTAGTACCTTTACCTCGAGCAAATAATAAGGCGTATGAAAGTTGGCCCCGATTATTAAAAAAAAATCATCTTACAATACTTTTTCTCCAGTCATATTAAATATATTACACGATCAGCTGTAGAGGTTTCCATAGCCGACCGATAGTAAACCTACCAGAACGTAAAGTTGATTCAGATGCTGCTTATTCAAAGACCATAATTTCAATGCTCTTTCAACAGATATTCTCTAGAAAGGCTGGTTAGTTAGATGATTCTTAGGTAATTTTAATCTTCTAGATATTTATGTCTTCAGATAAAAAAACGAATAAGTTAATTCAACATTCATCGGCATGTATTCTGAACGTATGTTGTCTGTTTCAGGGTAAGGTGTACCTGTTCGACAAAGTATTCAAGCCCAACGCGTCCCAAGAAAAAGTCTACAATGAGGCTGCGAAGAGCATCGTCACCGACGTGCTGTCGGGCTTCAACGGCACTATCTTCGCCTACGGGCAGACCTCTTCGGGTAAAACTCATACCATGGAGGGGGTGCTCGGTAAGTATTACTTAAGGTTCTCCTTATCTTTACCAATAACGGAATAGTGTTCACATTCGCAAAAGGACTGTCACCTGGAATGTGTCCTGGAAGACAGATAACGAAAATATATCAGAATTGTCCTTTGTCGTCAGTAAACAATATGACAAATGTGGAACTTCCTACCAAAAATCGAAATCCTACGATTTCAATCCACGGAAAAAAAATAATTTTGCATCAAAAATGGATAGTGATATATTAGGCTGATATACCACTAGACATGATGGTATCGGTCCATCCCTATGGGAAAACCCATCACTGCTTTGGTTTTTTCTGAGAAATCTAAGCATCCTGCAACAGTCATAACTTAGTTCCAACTTACTTACTAGAGTAAAACAGACTAATTTATTTATATAATAATTTTCTTTTTAGTTTAGTTTAGTATCTTAGCATAAAATGGCAAAAGTATTCTGGGACGAATGTTACCAGGCCCAAATTTGCGCAACAATTTTTTTAGACAAATTCGCTTCAGTGTTTCCAAGATGTTTACGACATTATTAATAGAAGGTGTTTATAACTTTCTCGAAGTTGATAAAACAATATGAAAAAACGAAAATTTTAATGTTGCCGATGTTCTTATACAGGGTGTTTCAGTTTATTGTTGCATAACTTTAAGATTCGATAGAACTTTTAAAATTAGTGCATAAAGTCTATATAAACATTGGTCGAAAATGCGTGGCTTCCGAAATACAGGGTGTTTAAATTTACTTTCTAAAATAGTTTTTTTTAAATATTTCGAACAATATTTGATGTATAACAGTGAAAATTGGTATACAAGGATTTTTTTGTATAGTTTTACTATAGCCGCTAGAGGGCGCTCTCTACTGTACCTGTAGTGTATTAAAATGACCGAAAATTTCTTCTTAGTGAAAAAAACAGAATATTAATTTGTTTAATTTTCCAATATTATATTTAACAAATTAAATTAATTATTTACAACTAAAATGCTATTGGATAGTTAGGACAAACATACAAAATATAAAGTAGTTGCTCGAAATGTAAACCCAATTGTTCAATACACAATTCACATCTACGAATGATCGAACGTGGTATAGCATTATTCAAATAACGCCTTATTTCATCACATGCATTCCTGATTCTGTCTATTAGCATATCTCTTGTGGTTACGGGAGTCTGGTACACTTTTTCTTTTAGAAATCCCCACACAAAGAAATCTAATGGATTTAGGTCAGGGGATCGTGGAGGCCAGGCGACTGGTCTTCCACGGCCGATCCATCTTTCTGTTCGTCCAGCCAGTTTCTCACTATTCTCGAATAATCAGCTGGACAACCATCAAGCTGGAACCAGGCCAATCTTCTTAAATCTAACATAACATCATCCCACATATTTGCATGTTCAGCCTTTAAAAATTCCAAGAAGGTCGCAGCATTTAACCTTGCAGGCAAAAGGTAGGGTCCAAATAGTCGATTACGGTAGATACCAATCCACACGTTCACACTAAATTCATGCTGAAAATTTCTTTCCCGAACTGCATGCGGATTTTCATGCGACCAAATATGTTGATTATGAAAATTTACCACTCCACGTCTAGTGAAGCATGACTCATCGGTCCATAAAACGTTACTTAAAAACTCCCTATTATTATCAGTTCTATCAAGAATCCACTGACAAAATGTGATTCTTCGTTGTCCGTCCCCTGGCTGTAGTCTTGCACAGGTTGCAAATGGTAAGGACGTCTATGGTCATTTCTAAGGACACGGTGAACATGGCTTGCTGAAATTCCCAAGGCACCAGAAACTCTCCTAACACTTGTGGTCGGATCTCTATCAAACTCACGCAGAATCATACGGGTAAATCTGCGCTGTCGAACATTTATGTTTTGATCCCTTTGCAGATTTCCAAAACCATTTTCAATTATTTGGCGATGCACTCTTACAATTACTGAGCGAGTTGGATGTCGTCTGTTTGAAAATCTTCGTGCGTATTCTCTGGCTGCTTCTGCTGCGTTTCCATTTACAAAGCCATACACAAACTGAGTATCCGCTAACTCTTGATTGGAGAATAAAAATGGCATGTTTATAAAACTTACAAAAAAAAAACAGGTAAAAGAAACTAAATTTCGTGCATTCACAATTGCAAAAAAACGTTTCAGGTTTCAACAGACAACAAAACTAACTGTCAACTAATTGACGTTTAACCTTATTCTGCTTTCAATTTCAAAAATATTTGCAGGCACAGCCTACTTCTAAAAATTATAGAGATACTGACTTTTTAACGTTATTTTATCATAAATAATTAAAAATGCATCGAACCTTAAAAATCGAAATATCTTAAAAACGGCTAACTATAACGAAAATTCACAAGAGAGCTTTTTTATGTTGAAAAGTGCGAAGAATCAGTTTTTTCATTCAAAAAACCCTTGTATACCAATTTTCACTGTTATACATCAAATATTGTTCGAAATATTTAAAAAAAAAACTATTTTAGAAAGTAAATTTAAACACCCTGTATTTCGGAAGCCACGCATTTTTCGATCCATGTTTATATAGACTTTATGCATTAATTTTAAAAGTTCTATCGAATCTTAAAGTTATGCAACAATAAACTGAAACACCCTGTATATTAGTTAGACATCTACTGACAAAATTCCAAAGCATTTCAGGAGGTACTGTGAACGTTTTTAATTGCTAACCAAACGCGAACACTTAATTCAATTATCAAAGATCTCTTCATGTGAGCGCACTAAATCTAATCTAATGGCTGAACTACTTAATTTTTCATTTATGTGATCTCGTGGTAAAAGACTTTTACTCGAAATTTATCACGTTGTCCAAGTCCTATAATGCTTTTGGATGTGTATATATTGAGTTTCACCTTATTTGGATCCTTATTAAGTCATTTACGAGCTAGAAACTTTATTACAAATGGTGAAATAAAATAAGTGAAGCGTGTTAAGGTTTAGAGAACTTACAATACAAGCTAGTGAATACTTTTGCTCTTGCATGTGAACGACTATTTAAAAAAAATTGAGCTAGGGATCTAAAAAGTAAAGCATTTTTTATTCTAGGAAAAGTCTGTAGACAAGATTTTTCGCTTAGCAACCTCAGAAATCCATTATTATTGAACTATAAAGGGCCAATCGGAAAAACGTCAAAAAGTTAGGAATGAAGTTTGACGGCTATTAATTTGTATTTCAAAGTTTGAGATGGCATTTTTTGACTATATAGAAGTTATGCCTGACTCTAGTTTCATGTAATTTTTTTTACAGGCGATCCCCAGAAGCAGGGCATTATTCCTCGTATAGTAAATGATATCTTCAATCACATCTACGCGATGGAAGAAAATCTAGAATTTCACATTAAAGTATCTTATTTTGAAATTTACATGGACAAGATAAGGGATCTTTTAGACGGTAAGTAGTAACTATGTCCAGCAATAAAAATGATTATTTATTCTGTATATCCACATCTATGCTGGCCAATTATTGTTACTATCAATTAAAAAGTCAAAGTTTATATGAGTTTTGGCCTACGGCTTTTATCAAATTAGTGAACTGCAAAGATCTATATTGAGCTACAAATATTAATTTTTTTAATTGTATACAATCTTCTTGCAATGTGTTTCTGTTAGGTTCTTTTCAGGCTCCTTGTTAAAAATTTCTTTTTTTTTTGTATTATACTGGCTTTTTGACTAACCATTTTCAATAATTAGTGTCGTTTTCTACTTTATCGCAGTATATTTCATATCTATATGTTTTTTTGCAGTATCAAAAGTGAATTTGAGCGTCCATGAAGATAAAAACAGGGTACCGTATGTGAAAGGTGCAACAGAACGGTTTGTCTCGAGTCCTGAGGAAGTATTTGAAGCAATTGAAGAGGGCAAATCCAATAGACATATAGCTGTAACAAGTAAGATCGATTCCCTAAGACTAATTGGAATATTTTTAACATATTTAATATTTACAGATATGAATGAACATTCATCCAGATCGCATTCCGTATTCCTCATAAACGTCAAGCAAGAGAACCTCGAAAACCAGAAAAAGTTGTCTGGAAAATTGTACTTAGTAGATTTGGCTGGATCCGAAAAAGTCTCAAAAACCGGAGCCGAGGGTAAGCATAATAAAAAAATCATGGTTTGAAACGGAATGTGTCGTGTAACATTTGAGGTTTGAAAAAAAAACAGGTTTGCCACAATAGTCATGAAATTGAGAATTTCGTTTTGTCTCTCGTATGCATCGTAGATCTAAGCAGGATTCAGATTTTAAAATTCTGTATAAGAAACGGTGCAAGATTATACACAAGTTAGAGTGAAAAACATCCTTATTGATAGGCTGTTTTTCTCATGCGCTTGTAACATACGTTCATATTATTCTATCAAAAAGTTTTTATAGATTTGTAGTAAATCATCGGGGAAACAGTTTGCTTCTGAATACTATTACTTGAGAAATCCAGTTTTCCGTAAAACTTTTCGTGAAGTACGTTATATAGCGTGTGTTAAAGCAAATGGCGTTTAAAGACTTTTTAAATCTTTATTTCCTGTACTATAATTTTTAGATCTATGGAAAATGACAAATGAGTAAAAAGCCAAAACGTTACCATTATTGAATGGAGAATATTTTTTTCAAATGAGCTGTTAGCATTTTTTAAATTGAGTAGTTTTGTTATAAATATATATTCGTGGGTCTATAGCTCTTACAATTGGCATAAGAACTTATTTTTTTTTACCTAGAGACAGGCTTGGTCCCCCGGTTAGTTCTCTATTGGCCGGACCAATGTAATGCAGAATTATTAGTTTTCAATAGCAAGTAGACTACTAGACTACTACTATATCGCCAGAATCGACGGCATCAAGTGATGACTCAGACTTCGACGCGAACTGAGATACAACAGATAGATAGACAGATAGATAGCTGCTATTCACGGTGGTTTATTCTAGTAATAAATGATACTTGTGGGGTCGTATTTATATACAGTAGTGGACAAAGGTTTGGAAACATTCTCAGTAATTTTTAAAAAGGGCGCTAATTTTTTATTCTTTATTATTAAGGACTATTTTTTTCTCATATAGTTTGCTTACAGTCTTGAGGATACAAATGACATTTTGTGTTTGCTGTGGTACTACAGACTAGCATTAAAGTACCTTCATATTACTTTATGACCAAAAATGAGACGACAAAAGTATGGAAACATTTTTTATTACAAAATTGAATACAAAAATAGTTGAAAAATAATACTACTACTACTAATATTTGGTAGCATAGCCTTTAGCATTCAACACCGCCTGACATATGCTGCTCATAGAAGACATCATTTTTTACAGACGTCTGTTGAGATATTTTGCCAAATATTTTTTACATAATCAAATTAATCGTGCCTATTTTTTAAAATTTTTCTTGACAATTGTCTTTTAACATGCTCCCAGAGATGTTCTATAGGGTTTAGGTCCGGGGATTGCGAAATCCATGTAAGATCATTAACATTTTTTAGTCAACAGTCCTTTACGAATTTTGAGGTATGCTTGGGGACATTATCTTGCTGGAATGTCCATCGTAAAGGCATTTTTTCTTCATCAAAAGGGAGCATGTCTCACTAAGAATATCATTGTAAAGTTTTTGATCCATTTTCCCAATAATTTTAATAATTGGACCCATTCCAGAGCTAGAAAAACAGCTCAAAACCATGATGTTGCCTCCATCGTGCTTACCTGTTGGCAACTGATACTTTTTGCCGAATCTTTTTCGCACTGGACGTCTCACATATGCCGTACCGTGAGATCCAAACAAGTTAAATTTGCTCCATAAAACTGGATTCCGTTGTTGTGCTGTCCAAGTTAGATGAGTTTTAGCATATTCAAGCCGAGAAATACGATTTTTTTTAAATGAAAAGCCCAAAATCCACCAAGCGTCTCTGCACTGTTCTGACTGAAAGATTCTCGGCACCCTCTTCTACTAAGCTTTTCAAAATCTGTGTGTCTGGCATTCGAGGATCTTCATGGGACAAAAGTTTAATGTAGCGATCCAAAACATAATCGGTTTTTTTTTTCGGTCTTCCGCATCAGGGCCGCGTTGCTGTTGATCCGTTTTCTTAATATTTACTAATAATTTTCCAAATTGTCCCTTTGTTCATTTTTAATCTTTGAGAAATGTCAACATTTCTGATACCACTTCTAGATAATTTAATTACTTTGTTTCTTAAATCTTTTGAAAATTCTTTTACTTTTGCCATCCTCACAGATGTTAATATTTTTTAACGCACGCAATATCAGAGTATCGCAGAACGAATAAATATGGCAAAACTGAAATGTTTCTATACGTGGTATTAAAAAAAAAACAGAGAATTTCAATATTGATAAGATATAAACCTTGTACGGGAGCCAAAAGGTAAACTTTAATATTTATATTATATGTTCCTTCAAAATTTTAATTTAGGTATATGGAATAGTTCATAATAATGCTAATACAGGGTGTTTCAGTTTATTGTTGCATAACTTTAAGATTCGATAGAACTTTTAAAATTAATGCATAAAGTCTATATAGACATGGGTCGAAAAATGCGTGGCTTCCGAAATACATGGTGTTTAGATTTACTTTCTAAAATAGTTTTTTTAAATATTTCGAACAACATTTGATGTATAACAGTGAAAATTGGTATACAAGGGTTTTTTTTTACGACAAAACGAACCAGTTTTACTGTAGCCGCTAGAGGGCGCTCTCTACTGTACCTGTAGTGTATTAAAATGACCGAAAAAATTTTCTTAGTACAATTTTTTGCTTTTTGAATAAAAAAAAACGATTCTTCGCACTTTTCAACATAAAAAAGCTCTCCTGTGAGTTTTCGTTATAGTTAGCCGTTTTTGAGCATGGGCATTACAAGTAATTAAGATGATCGCTTAGATTGTGTTTTTAAACACAGCAATAATTCCTAACTCCAAATAAACACAAAAAACAGAATATTAATTTGTTTAATTTTCCAATATTATTTTTAACAAATTAAATTATTCATTTACAACTAAAATGTTATTGGATAGTTAGGACAAACATTCAAAATCTAAAGTAGTTGCTCGAAATGTAAACCCAATTGTTCAATACACAATTCACATCTACGAATGATCGAACGTGGTATAGCATTATTCAAATAAGGCCTTATTTCATCACATGCATTCCTGATTCTGTCTATTAGCATATCTCTTGTGGTTACGGGAATCTGGTACACTTTTTCTTTTAGAAGTCTCCACACAAAGAAATCTAATGGATTTAGGTCAGGGGATCCTGGAGGCCAGGCGACTGGTCCTCCACGGCCGATCCATCTTTCTGGATAATTTTCGTCCAGCCAGTTTCTCACTATTCTCGAATAATGAGCTGGACAACCATCAAGCTGGAACCGGGTCAATCTTCTTAAATCTAACATAACATCATACCACATATTTTCATGTTCAACCTTTAAAAATTCCAAGAAGGTTGCAGCATTTAACCTTGCAGGCAAAAGGTAGGGTCCAAATAGTCGATTACGGTAGATACCACGTTCACACTAAATTCATAGTGAAGCATGACTCATCGGTCCATAAAACGTTACTTAAAAACTCCCTATTATTATCAGTTCTATCAAGAATCCACTGACAAAATGTGATTCTTCGTTCTCCGTCCCCTGGCTGTAGTCCTTGCACAGGTTGCAAATGGTAAGGACGTTTATGGTCATTTCTAAGAACACGGTGAACATGGCTTGCTGAAATTCTCAAGGCACCAGAAACTCTCCTAACACTTGAGGTCGGATCTCTATCAAACTCACGCAGAATCATACGGGTAAATCTGCGCTGACGAACATTTATGTTTTGGTCCCTTTGGAGATTTCCAAAACCATTTTCAATTATTTGGCGATGCACTCTTACAAATACTGAGCGAGTTGCATGTCGTCTGTTTGGCTATCTTCGTTCGTATTCTTTGGCTGCTTCTGCTGCGTTTCCATTTACAAAGCCATACACAAAATGAATATCCGCTAACTCTTGATTGGAGAATAAAAATGGCATTTTTATAAAACTTACAAAAAAAAAACAGGTTATAGAAACTAAATTTCGTGCATTCACAATTGCAAAAAAACAAAACTAACTGTCAACTAATTGACGTTTAACCTTATTCTGTTTTCAATTTCAAAAATATTTGCAAGCACATCCTACTTCTAAAAATTATCGAGATACTGACTTTTTAACGTTATTTTATCATAAATAATTAAAAATGCATCGAACCTTAAAAATCGAAATATCTCAAAAACGGCTAACTATAACGAACATTCACAAGAGACCTTTTTTATGTTGAAAAGTGTGAAGAATCAGTTTTTTTTTTCAAAAAGTTGCCACGGCTGTTGCGCAACGCATTATAAAATTTTTGTCGCGGGAGGGCGTAAAACCTTCCGAAATTTTGCGTCGATCAACACTTAACAGCACAGTTCGGCGATAAGACAGTTTCAAAGACACAAGAATTCGGCTGGCAAAAAGCACTTCCATAGCGTCGCGAAAGCCTGGAAAGGCAGCACCGCGAAAAGCCAAGACCATTCTTTCTGCAAGAAAAGTTCTTGCAATGGTATTTTGGGATTCGAGAGGTGTACTGCTAGTTGATTTTGCTCGGCGACACACAGCTGTATTGGCTCAAGAAAAATTCATTGGGAACACTTGAACACCCGTCTTACAGTCCTGGTTTGTCGCCATGTGACTATCACATGTTTGGACCACTTAAAGAGGACCTGGGAGGTCACCACTTTGACGACGACGAAGGTGTGGAAACGTTCGTGCACAATTGGCTACTGACACGACCAGCTTCATTCTTTGATGGGGAATTAAAAAACGCCCGACCCGATGGGAAAAATGCACCAATAAGAGAAGATATTATGTAGAAAAATAAGATGTAAATGAACGAAGTATATACTATACCAATAAAGTTACTAAAACAAAAGTCCGGTTCATATTTGATTCGCCCTCGTACTATACAAGTAGGGTGATTTTATGACCGGGCACTTGGTTATGAGTAATACAAAGATAGCTTCTCGTATAGACAGCAATCAAGCTACTTCATCGCTATTACTTGTTTCCTGTAGCGTAATATTGTTGCTCATTTCCAGGTACTGTGCTGGACGAAGCGAAGAACATCAACAAATCTTTGTCGGCCCTAGGCAATGTAATAAGCGCGCTCGCCGATGGCAACAAGTCTCACATTCCGTACCGAGATTCCAAACTGACGAGGATCCTGCAAGAATCTCTGGGAGGTAACGCAAGGACGACCATCGTCATATGTTGTTCACCTGCTAGTTTCAACGAGGCTGAGACTAAGTCTACCTTGGAGTTCGGAAAGAGGTCAGTTCAAATTATTACTATTATAACAGTGTGCGGCAGCATAACTTCTTTTTTCAAAACTTAGTTAAACCCAACCCTACGAATCAGAAAAAATGTATTTGTTTGTTATGATGTAGGCCCTAAAGTTTTGTTTCAGATAGTTTTGAAGATCACATCAGATAAGTGACGTCCTCCATTCTCCATACACTGAGTAAACCGATTTCTGGCGTTTGTCATAAGTCTTGCCAGCATAGCAGGTGTTATGTTGGCAATTTCTTCCTGGATGTTGGTCTTCAAATCTTGTAAAATTCTTGGATGGTTCACATAAACATGGGATTTCAAGAAACTCAATAGAAAAAAACCTTGGGGTCAAATCGGGAGAACGAGCCGGCCATTCCAAATGCCCCTAATTGAGATGAGGCGCTCTGGAAAGTGTTCCCTCAAAACAGCCATCGATGCTCTTGAAGTTTGTGCCCTTGCACTGTCTTGTTGGAAACAAGTGTCCCCCCTTGCCGAATTCACTGACACTGCGACTTCATTTACCTAAAAGAACCAGGACCAATAATTCCATCTGAGGAAATTGCACAACTCACTGTGACCTTAGGTAAATGCAATTCTTGAGGATTGGTATCAGCCCAGTAGCGCATGTTTTGTTTGTTGATGGATCCACACAAATGAAAATTGGCTTCATAACTTCTTAAAAAAGACAATAGCGTCCTCAGGAACGGCTTCGAGAAGAAACTTACACGCGTTCATCCAAGAGTTGAAGTCATGTTCAGAAAGTCCCTGCACAATTGTCACCTTGTAATGACGGAAATGAAGATCATTATGAAGAATTCTCATCGCAGAACATAGGAAACTTCAAGGGCAGACGCCGTGGTGATCGCAACATTGAAGATGTCACTACCTCGATCTTTTCGGGTGATCTGATGGGCCGAGTGACTTCAGTTCTTCGTCTTGTCGCACTTGCAGCTTATCAGGAGGTAGTCGCCTACGTATCAATGAATTTCCAGTCCGCGGCAGGGGCCATTAAATGCGATTTTGAAAGGTGCGCTGGGTTGCGATCACAGAACATCCTCTCGAAAAGTAGGCATCAACGGCAAAAACACGAGACCTCCGCGCTCCGCTGCGACATCAACCAACTGAATGGCGTGAATTTTAAAAAAGGAAATTATGCTTCCGCACCCTGTACAATAATGACTTTTTGATAGTCCCGAACGGTCACCCACAGAGGACCATATCAGTTTTGTACATAGCATGTCTTTAATTTGTTTTGGATGAATGTGTTTGACAAGCCGTGAGACCAGTATCTCTTTTAATGCGATGTAAACCATTGATCAACATATTCTTCTCGAAGATAGCTAAAATAAAATGAAACCAGTATTTGGGCGTAGAGAATAAACTAACACATATTTTCTACATGCATCTTAATTTAAGGACATATTGGCTTCGCGGCAGATTGCCGCGTCATCGTTGCTAGGCAACGAGGTGATGAGCTTCGCTTTCCAGCCCTCTTCTATCTCTTTCTATCTTTAACTAATTCTTTCTCATAACTCAAGCCGTAATACAAATTTGGTTGTCAGTGTATATGAGCGCCAACTAGGAGATCCTTTTCAAAGTAGATCTATCATTATCGCGGAGAACAGAGACACACCTGTGATAATAGAGGAAGCAACGGGTTTTCAGTTCATCTCGGATAATTTTTTATATGCACAAATGTGACATCAGGTTAGGTATCTTCAGGAAGAGTACGTCAATCAATGGTAAAACTAAGCCTCTAGCAAGAGAATGAGCCCATTATAAGGCCAAAGTCGCTCGACAGCTCGTCAAGGGAGGCAATTTTTTTCAAAAAAGAAACAAGTCGAGCACCACAAATGCTTTAACTTTTGGCTATAATTTCAGATTTACCGTTACGCATCTCGTGGTAAAACATGTGTAGACATCGACAGTCTTTGGCTTTTTTTGTAATAACAAATTGATCGTTACAGCAAAGTGGCTGTGTAAGGTCTAATTTTAAAGATATTCACATCTGCTGCAACTTTTCATAGATCACTTATATCAAAAATTCATAAATATTTGAATATACGCGAAAAGGTGATTTTTTCGACGTGGTTTAATAAAAAAAGTTGCACATCAAAATTTTTTATATCTCTCGATGAGAGAACTTTTCATATACCCCTAAGAATATAATACCGTTGTAAAACAGCTAATTACAACGTTTTTCTTACAAATTCTGGATATTCCGGTCTGTGAGAACCCTGTGTCGAATTAACATCCGTCAACATGCAATTATTATTTCATAATAGATGGAATTCCGGTTCATTGCCATGTCGAAAAATTTGTTAATAAATTATCGAATTCATGCTAAAATAGTTTCTCGCATTTTAACTGCGCAGTTATCGAAACCAGATAATTATATCTTTAGTAAATATATGCTATAAACTTTGATGACTTTCACATTCACATCATCTTTCTTTCAAGATCTGCTCCAAATATTCAGTATTTTGCTCTATAATACTTTTATAAATGACATTTCAGTTTGTTTTGTAAACGTACTCTGTTGTATAAAATCGCGCTCGACATTAATCTGCTACCAAAAATGGTGGGAATATATAAACTTGACCTCCAAATGACCTCTGAGCTTATTGCCTAGGTCATGTTTCACGTCGTCGACAAATTGCTTTTTTGATATCCAGAAACTTTTCAAAACCCTTTTCCAAAAAATGCATGGTTGGCAAGTTTTTGGAGTGTACATTTATTTAATAGACATTATGTGGCTACGGATAGTATACTTGTGCCATATCTTGGATAACAATCAGCTATGAAACTCTTGTTACTGTCTAAAGCGGCCGCCATTTCGTCGGAGAAAGTCGAATGTAAATTCCTCCAATACAACGATGCAAGAGGTTTTAGTGCTCAGCAGCAGCCTGTGTTGCCACGTACCCTGCCAGCGGCCGCAGATATTATTTGCAATCGTAAAAGTTATACTATTCCGATATGATCTGATGTAGTTTGTGTGAACCGATAATAAAAAGGAATATGGTTGTCCAAAGAGAAGCAACGAAGTATTTATTTATGAAAAAGTTTATTTACAATAAATAGAAAAATATTTACTTTTGTCATGCGTTCTTTGCTGCTGCGATATTCTCAATCCATTCCATTTTCAATATACATGAACACTGTTAAAAACACCGCATTCAACCATGACACTTCTGAGCTAGGATGGTTCTACATAAACGGCGAGAATTTAATGTAAAAGCGGTCGGTAGTTCCGATATTTTAAATACCTAGAAAACTTAGTAATAAAAATTATAGGCCGTTCTCCACAAGGTGATTCATAATTACATGACAACACATACATTTTTTAAACGAGTTTGTTTAGAATGAGCGAAGAATAAAAAAATATTCGTGCAAACGGTTTAATTTTACTGATGAACAATGCTTGTTAAATCTCTCATTTAAATGTTCATTTGCTCTAGTTTTTTTTTTTTTCGCGACAAAGACACCTTGTGATTGAGTGAAGGTTGTTTTTGCCTGGTGTTTTTAACACAGCTCACATTGAAAATGCAGTGGATCGATTACATCGCAGCAGCTTAGGATACAAATTTATTTTGAACCTTTTTGATAAATAGTCATCAGTCCCTTCTTTTTGGACAAACATAATCCTTTTTATTACTGATTCACACAAACTACACTAAATCATTTCGAAATATTATCATTTTACGATTGCAAGGAATATCTGCGGACGCTGGAATGATGCGAGGCAACACCAGACTCAGCTGAACGCTAAAACCTCTTTCATTGTTGTACTAGGGGAATTTACATGTGATTTTCTCCCATTTTTGACACTGTCAGGAGAGTTTCATAGCTGATTGCTGTTCAAGCTGTACTTGTGCCTTACACAATTTATCGTTTTGCTGTATGTTCGAGCTACGTTATATTTAAGATAAGTTTGCATAAATCCACCGTAATGTAATAACTTTTTTTTGGCTGTATATGATAGATAATAATTTCAAAATTTTCTTATAGAGCGAAGACGGTGAAGAACGTGGTTTGCGTGAACGAGGAACTGACAGCCGAAGAATGGAAGCGGCGATACGAGAAGGAAAAGGAGAAGGTAGCCCGACTAAAGGGCAAAGTGGAGAAATTGGAGGAGGAGTTGAACCGTTGGAGGAGCGGCGAGACGGTGAAACCGGAGGAGCAGATCAACCTACAGGACCTGCTCATTACGGATGCCGTCACTCCTGTCAGTGGTATGGAGGAGAGCATCGTGCAGGAAAAACCTTCAGGTATTGTTCGTTTTAAACAGATATTTATTGGGTCACAGATCAGTGTTACTAGGTTCCAGAATATATAAAAATATTATGAACAGCATTAAAATAGCATCCTCTTAGTACAGCCCTTGAAGCAACTCATCCAGTCTTATGGTGGTCGTCATGTCGTTGCTATTGATATCACGAAAGCGTTCGATCAGCTATGGTATGCTGCCCTCTTATGTAAACTTCCATCCTTTTGGAGAAGCTTTGCAGCTGGGTGGCTGACTTCCTCTCTGGCCGCAAGATATGAGTCGTAATTGACTGGTTTTCCTCTTCATCCCAGAATGCCAACGCGAGTGTTCCGCAGCGATCCGTCTTGTCTTCGACATTGTTCCTGTGACATATCAACGATCTTTTTGCTGTACCATCAATCCGATCCACAGCTTTCCTCATGATAGCACTCAACATACAGGAAAAGAAGACTAGCAGCGACACAGTTCGATGGATGGCCGAGTTCTACCAAAGAACCGTTCATTTCGGCTGGTCGGCTATCTTTTACCGCTACGCTCTCCTCTATGATGCCGCCTCGCGATGTGCCTGCCAGACAGACCCGTCAGACTTCGGCCTCAAATCCTAACCGTCGCGACCTTCGTACATCCAGAACTGGCCGATATGACCGCTTGCTTGTCCATAGGGTATCGAGATTGTGGAACAATCTAGAAGAGGAGGCTTTTCCCAGTTGTATTAACCTTAGGCAGTTCATAAATCTGATTAAGCTTCTTTGGTATCATCATACCAACCGGGGTGTCCTGGCATTTAGGTTTCTGCTTGCGCGGCTGCTTCGGTGTAAAAAAGAATTTCTTTAATATGCTATGCAGTTTGTTTTCATTTCGACTCGTTCTAATCTACCACCATGTCAAACTACCAGGCATAAGACATATGGAATTTGACCACCCGTTAATTTTAAGTAGTGATACTTCACGTTGTGCTGATCAAACATTCCAATGAGCGCAAAGCCCAAAAATGCTTTCTATTGGAGATACAGGGTGTTAAAGGGTGATACCTTAGCCCCTGTGGGTACGCTTGCCTACACTATTTTACAAAAAATAACTCGTTATTAATGTTCCCACGGGACTTAGGCCCGTATCGTCAGTCGTCCCTACAATTGTAGGGCGCCTTATGGCCTCCTTGATTGTCATAGTTTTCTACTTCTCCGTGTCAGCTGTCTATTTTGAGGTTATGTCACAAACATCTATTTGCATGAAATTGTGCTTGCTTCTGAGTTATATCATGTTTTATCAGCCTGAAATGTCCTACAATTTGAAAAGAAAACATATCTTCACAATAGGAAAGTGCTGACGCTGACACGGGACAGATGCAATCTAGAAATTTTTGGAGGAGAGAAAGGAGTATGACAATCAAGGAGGCCATAAACGCGCCCTACAATTGTAGGAACGACTGACGATACGGGCCTTAACATACCTATAAGATCTCAATCTTGTTGCGCAGACCATTGTCGTATATCTTTTATAGTTCTACTAAACTACTTTTCATTTTCGTTGGTACATCCTGTATATAGTATATGTATTCACGCGATTTTTATTATATCGTTAAGTCTACTAGAAGACGAGTTAATTTTCTTAAAATGGCAGGCTTACCCACAGACGCGGAGGCACCAAACTTCAACACCCTGTATCTCCTATAAGGCTTTATACAAATTTTCATTTAAAATGACCGGTGGTCCAATCTCATATGATTTGTGCCTGGTATCTGTTATGAAGTTTTCTGACCATTAAATAAAATACTGTATCCCAATACTTCATTAATTATATATTCAGTAAAAATGATCTAAAATTCGAAATTGAGTTTTTGAAAACTAACTTTTTTTTTCAGGTCCTTTGCCCGCAACTCCAGCGTTGATGATAGGCTCCACTTTGGGTATAGAAGAACGCACGAAACTAGAACAAGAAAGGGAGCGATTATACCAGCAGTTGGACGAAAAGGATGAGGAGATCAACCAGCAGAGTCAGTACGTCGAGAAACTCAAAGAACAGATGCTGGAACAGGACGAACTTATCGCAAGTACCAGAAGGTACGGTAGAAAATCTGTTTCCTGTCTGTGCATTCTTAGTAGGAACATAAATATATAATGATTTAAGTTGATTGGAGCTACTAGTCACTTTCTGTATGTCAACCACTCAACCAGTTGCCAACAGCAGCGGTTCATCCTTACTGGGGCTCGTCAATATGACATAGGACTCATGTGGAGAATTAAAGCAATATTATCAGTAGCCCAGAGGCTCTATAACTTTTTGTCAAAACAACTATATTTATATACTACAAGCCACTTTGGTTCTACAAGTTGATTTTTTTTTTTCAGGGATTATGAAGCCTTGCAAGCTGAGATGAATAGAATTCAGCAAGAGAACGAGAGTGCTAAGGAGGAAGTGAAAGAAGTACTTCAAGCACTCGAAGAATTGGCTGTGAACTATGACCAGAAGAGTCAAGAGGTCGAAGCGAAAAATAAGGAGGTAAATAGCACACCTTGAACGTTATTCATCAACCAAAATAACACCCCACCCTCTTTGCCCTTTCCCTCCATTCGTTTCTTTCTTCTTCCCCTCTTCTTTGGTTTGTCTGGTATGTAGGTAATCAGACCAAAGGGAGACAGTTTGTATTTTTTTGTTGCCAGTGAATTATACTTATTCCTAATATTTTTAAATTGCAGATGGAGACACTTAGCGAAGAATTAATGCAAAAGCAAGCCAGCTTGAACACCACCACGACTGAGCTGCAACAATTGCGCGACATGAGCAGCCACCAGAAGAAGCGCATAGCAGAAATGCTTAGCAATCTACTTAGGGAATTAGGAGAAATTGGAACTACTTTAGGAGGTACTGGCACAGGTACACTAGGTACACGCATATCATTCATTTCATTTCCACTACATTAGCACTACAGCCCTATTGCACTATATAAATATAGATCGACCAGCCAAAGATTGCTAGGGACGAAAGGGGGAAATGCGATGAAAAAACCTTACCATTAGACGATTTTATATGGAGTCATAGGCGGAGATCGGAGAGACTTGAATTATTAATTGAATTTATATTTTATTACAACTGGTAGTATTAATATTTTTTTGCGATTCATAATGACGTGATACCAAACATACATTATAAGAAATAAATATACACAAACACTGAATATTGAGAACAAAATAAATATATTTTTTAGGCAACAAGTAATATTCCTATGTACGCATTATGATTGAACAGCAAAACAAATTATGCATTCTTCTAAAATAGAATACAACAAGTCAAAAATATCTGACTGAATAGAAAAATATAGGAAAACAAAAAGTAATTTCTTGATGAAATAACCCATAAACAACACATAGAATTAGACTTTCTACTGAGATACTAAAAGCCACAAACCAATAGTATAATAAATGAATATCTAAAAATTCTAAAAGGTAGCCAATCTAGTATAGTTTCAATCCTGATTAGAGTCATGATCACTGTCTGAGGAACTGTCATTGCTATCACTTTCACCTCCTATGTTGATTATTATTTCTTCCTGTATTTCTTGAATGAGACTGTCTTTTTCCCAATATTCATCTTCAATTTTTATAACATGTCCAATAACCTTTTGCCAGTCACTGGCACTTACTGAAGCGATGGCCTTATTAGAAATTTCATCTAGTTTTTTTATAGTAAATTCGCCGCTTGTATTATGGCTTCTAATGAAAAATTTTACTTGTGCCCAAATCATCTCTATGGGATTAAACTGACACATATAGGGTGGCGTTCGAAGTGGGGTGTGTCCGAAACTTCTTATTAAATTATCTATCTTATAATTTTTCTCATCAGATGGTGGCCTATGTAGACAAGCTATTTCATAAAGCTCCATTTTTTTAGCATTAGGATCATGCTCTATACCTTTTTTGCTCAACCACGTGATGATGTCTCTTTTTAGAGAAGATCTAGTTGGAGGCTTGTCTTCCAAAGCTGAATGGTAAGGTGCATTATCCATTATTATAATACTATTAGGAGGAATGTTAGGAAATAGTTTTTCAGTAAGCCACTTCGTGAAATTTTCTTGGTTCATTTGACCGTGATAATCACCAGTGGCACAGCCAGCCTTGAAAATGAGACAGGCTCCAGGAACAAAACCATCTTGCGAACCCGCATGAACAATTATAAGTCGTCCTGGAAATGAATAAATAGCCTCATTTTAGTGTTATTTTAAGTTTGCCAACACCTTTTTGAATCACTATGTATAAAAAACATATTTTTGAGAAAAAAATACTTGCAAGGGATTATGTATTCAATTAGACAAATTAAATGAGCACTTATTAAGAATATTCCAAAATTGAGAAAAATGTATAATAAGCAAAATCGAGGTGAAAGAAACTTTATTACCTGTAGAACTTATATTGCTCAGGACACCCATAATTTCTTCGCTTTGCCAGCATTTCTTGAAAGTGAGGTCATTATCAACCCAAGTTTCGTCCAAATAAATAATATGCCTTCCTTCTTCCCGGAACTTTTTAATAGACCTAAGATACTTGTATCGCCAATGTAAAATACTGGGTCTTTCCATTAGTAATTTCCTTTTGTTGTGGCATTTACGCCAGTAAAATCCTTTTGCTTTTAAAAGCAGCCTCAACGATTCTTTACCAAATGGAAATTCCATTTCTTCCTTCAGTTTGATTAGAAGTTTACTACAAGTAGGTACCACTTTAAAATCACAGTAAAATTTTTCTATCATTCTCCGAATAATGGAAAAATCGACTCCATCAATTTTTTGGATCACAGAAGGGCGTGATCTCTTTTTTCCGGGAGAAGCTAAAGGCTGTGTGGAGGTTGCATTTTGCCTGTCTTTATCTTCTTTTCTAATTTTACTTATAGTTCGTTCACTAACACCCGTATAATATGCCGCCCTTGCATTTCTAGCTACCAGTGGATAAACGAAAGTATTGTTAGCCGCTTCTGCATCGCAAGCACGTATCACGTTTGCTATTATTTCCCTTGCCTGGCTGTGAATAACTTTCCCATGCTTGAATTCCATTATCACCACTAAACAGTAAATTATATTTTCAAAGTATTTGCCAACTGCCTACGCCTATGGGAGTAGGTTTATAAATGACCGTGCCATCGGCACGTTATTCTAGTTTCAGATAAGATAAGAGTTTTGGACCAATCAGCGACCGGATGTTTACCTGCGGCCTGGGTTTTCCAGCTACATTGCCAAATTCAGCGGAACAATTCTATATCTTAAATATGTTAATATGTATGGACCGCATTTTATGTAGAACATCTGACAACTTCGCAATTTTTTGTCCGCATTCTTTCGGCTTGCAATCTTTCGCTGGTCCAACATTACATGCATGGACTACACTCCACAAGTAGTCATTATATTGCTTTCGTGTAAGTGGCACGTTGAACGAACCGTAAAAACTTGTATGTATGTATGTATATCATGTCGTCCACGGACCCATTATCTCTATTATTTTTTTATTGTATTATTACTATTTTTCCCTGAAATGCTCATTTTTCTCATTATTTTGCCTTCACGAGGCCTGAGCCCTCCTCTAGACTGAGGTCCATAAAGTGTTTCGATATTTGATGTATCCTGGGAGCTGAAAGCACTCCCTACCATTTCCACCCCTCCTGTCTTCAATTGTGATAAAAGCATTCGTTCTCAGAAGTACTCTTAAGCGTCCCGCTCTTTTTTCAGTCTACGGCACTCGCTTCCAGAAGCGCTATTCAAGTTATATGACATGTTCATCACGAAAAACGATATCACTCATTTCCGTCGGTCAGTCTGTCTGTCTTTTTGCTAATCCTTGGCCGGTCTATAACTTGAGAAGCTATGGCGGCCAAGCTGGGGGCAAAAACGTGAACAAAATAAAAATTGCTCGTACTTCGTTCATTGACTTTTCAGAAGCTCCTGATTATTTTCACAAAAAAAATATGTAGAGTTTAAGAAGTGGGGGTGGCTGAATTGAACTTTTTAATTTCTCTTAGATACATATTCGTAACTAACTTTTTTCTTAGAGAGTCTTAACTTGTGTTGAACATAATCCTTGATGCCGGCGTTGGGAAGTGCAGAGTCAACCTACTTGACACCATTTTTTCTTTACAAAATACTCATTTTTTTGCGGGGCTCCAACCTGTCACTATTGCACATTCAACGTTTGCTGCAGTCTTTGTTAGCAGTTAGTTAGCATTTGAAATAAATCACCGTTTTGCAACGTCTCGACAATAATTGCAGCGCTGCACCACTGGGAAGCATTCATTGATGCCAACTTTGACATATGTGAATTTGATTCTTATTCATGTACTAACCGCTGCAAAACCGGAAAATTCTGAGCGTGGTATCGATATACAAAGGGTACTATAAAAGTTTTACAATGCAGCTTTATTTATTGACTTTGTTCAATGTAATTTCCACAACGTTCAATACACTTAGGGGTTAGATGGTAGAATAGATATATTATCTAAATCTCGCCTCATGTAATAATAAACTGCGCTTATCTCACTACGTGACCACGATGCCATAGACCACTGTCAATACGAATGAACCACTAAATCTACTATGCACTCATGGACATGTCGCAACGTGGAATGACATGTAGCCTCCTGCGTCCGTTTGATGTCATATTGTAAAACTTTTATAGTACCGTTTGTAAGTTGTAATGCACACATGGCGGTCTAACCACTCCATTTTTGACATAATTCTTGTAATAGGTGGCGCTGGTGATGCTGAACAGTTGAAGATCAGCAACGACGCCGCTAAACTAGAGGAAGAATTTACAGTTGCTAGGTTGTACATCAGCAGAATGAAGACGGAGGTCACTAATCTCACACAAAGACTTAGGGTATGTAACAAATTATGTTATAACTACTTTATTCAGCTTTTTGTTTATTTACCATGGCACCAGACTCTACAAATTTGATTTTGCCTTTAATCTAAAGCATGGTCACCTTCCAGCTTTTTTTTTTCGGGAATTTTTGTACGTTTTCTGATAAGATCTTAATCATCTGGTAGAAGACGTGTGCAGTCTATCCTCGTTTTCTGCATGTATGTTGTAAATAAGTATTTGAAATTGGAAGAGAACTCGTTTTAGTTTTTTTTTAATACCGTAAGATTGCAACCATTACATTTATTGTCGCATTGTCACCCCAGAAAATAAAAGTTATTTATTTGTTTTTATTTTTATGATTTTATGTTAGGTTAATCCAACATTTTGCATAATAGTGATTTGTACAAGGTTTGAATGGAAGATCACCATAGTTTATTATGTCATATAATGGAAAATAAAGATGTACAGCAGCGGGCAAAAGCTTGGAAACAAATATTAACATTATTATGAACTATTTCATATACCTAAATTAAAATTGTGAAGGAACAGATAATATAAATATTTGAGTCTACCTTTGGCTTTCGTACTAATACAAGGTTTATCTTATCAATATTCAGTTTTTGTAACGACAAAAGTATGGAAACATTTCGGTTTTGCCGTATTTATTCGTTCTGCGATACTGTGATATTGCCTGTGATAAATATTAACATCAGTGAGATTGGCAAAAGTCAAAGAATTGTCAAAAGATTTAAGAGGCAAAGTGATTGAATTATTTAGAAGTATCCCAACAGACATATTCTATGAGCAGCGGATGGCAGGAAGTGTTGAATGCTGAAGCCTATGCTACCGAGTATTAGCTAAACAGTATTTTTAAATCTTTTTGTAGAGTTATTGTATTTAATTTTGTGATAAAAAGTATGTTCCCATACTTTTTCCGCCTCATTTTTGATCATAAAATAATATGAAGGTATTTTAATGCTAGTATGTAGTACCACAGCAAACACAAATTGTCATTTGTATCCTCAAGACTGTAATCAAACTATATGAGAAAACAATAGTCCTTAATAATAAAGAATAAAAAATTAGCGCACTTTTTAAAAATTACTAAGAATGTTTCCAAACTTTTGTCCGCTACCGTATTATTAAATCTATTGAAAGACCATACCAGAAGTTGGAGCACATCCTAAGGACAACGCGAAAAAAAAAACCATCGGAATGAAAAATTTTGAAAATATCCCATTTAACCAAGAGAAACGAAATACAATCCACGTTCTTGGAGCATTTGTTACAACAGTATTTTTCTTCTTACAGGAAATTGAGAATAAAGAGCAGGATAGTAACAGAAAGGTGACTGAATATGAGAAAGAATTAGCAGAATGTAGGCTATTGATTTCTCAACACGAGGCCAGAATGAAGAGTTTGCAAGAGTCGATGCGAGAAGCAGAAAATAAGAAGAGGATCCTGGAGGAAAGCATCGACTCTCTTAGAGAGGAGTGCGCGAAACTCAAGGCTGCCGAACAGGTAAAATCATTGGACATTGGGCAAAATAAATAATGATTTAAATTGACATCTCTCAAGTCATTGCTCGATAAAAAATCAATTATCTCTAAACGTCTAAAAGTCTAAAAACGGACATCTATCTATCATGTTTCAGTTGGGAAAAAATACTATAAGATGGCAGCATAAATGTTCACTCATGATTATATGAACTAAATTAGAATGAATACAATGGGCGAGTTATTGCTTGTTAGTAAAACAGTAATGTCTATATTGATGTTTGTCGGGTATTGTTTCGTGTACATTCAGGGTGTCCTGAAAGTTTGGACTTTCCTTTTCAGAAACAACTTCGTTTGTTATAGCAAAGCTAATGTGCGGTGAAACAGCGAAAAAGTAAAAAAATAAATGAAAGTACTCACCGTTCATCGAAAAGAAATTTCAAGTACAGCTCTGATTGATATAGGCTTCCCGAATGTTCGTCAACCGTGTTCACCACAGTTTTATACACTAAACATTTCATTTCGCCTTAAACAAAAAAAATAAATCACTAAGGATATTTAAAAACGATCTGCATGCACTCGCAAAGCATCGGTAGCATTTCGAGGACACTCACCTTGAATTAAAATAATATGGTCTACGATGTTGCTGTAAGAGCGTGCCATTTTTTTGAACCGATGTGTAAAGGATTTGTTTACAAATGCGGTCAGCCTGGATTGAGTACTGATCTGCATCCTACGTGTTCACGTTTGATCTGATCGAGGTGCAGGGCCGTATTAGGTTTTGTTTAGGGTTGATTGATTTGAACTGCCTATTTTTCCAAGATCTATCCGAGTATAAAAGGAAGTCCCAACTTTGAGGACATCCTGTATATTTCTGAAGATACAACGAACAAATTTTGTTTCAGGTGCAAAGTGCGAGCGAAAGTGAAAAGAAGGAGGCCAACGAGCTTCGACAGGCTCTGGAGCAGCAGATGGATCAATTGAGGGTGGTTCACCAGAAGCAGGTGGCTGCGCTCAGGGATGAAATCGCTGAGAAACAGCAGCTCATCAACGAGATCAAGGAGTAAGTATTATGTTATTTCCGCTTAGCTATTACTGGCGTGAATGAAAATTCTCAAATGCAAATATTCAACTTCTTACTTCATTGTCTACATCACGACTGGAAGCATACTAAATACAATAGAATATGTATCATTTTTGGACCGTCCTCATCAGTCTCAGGACTTACCGAATAACTTTGAAAAACTCCATATCCGTAGTTTTTGATTTACCGGATCATCGCACGAAAATGTTCACGAGTCAATTCCATTATTTCACTGAGACACGTTTTCAAATCGCTATCAACAACATAAATCGTGCTGAAATGAGAAAACGTTCTGAACAAGCTTATGTTTAACACATTTTATGCCCATGACGACACTGTGTCGTCATGCGGTTTTCTGTAGCAGTGTCCATGACGACATTGTGTCGTCTTTGACACAAGCCTGAATATTATTTTTATTTTTGTATCCTAAAAAATAAATAAACCAATGTATGTATAACGTGACAGATGAACGTCAGTGGACCTAAGGACCAAAAATTATTGTTGAGTACTCCCGACGCAACATATGCGTCATTGTGTTATTTGTGAAAAATTAACCAATTTTAGCGAAAAAATACTCTATATTGAATTTAGTAACAATTTAAAGCAGGTAAACTGAAATTTTATAGTTGGTACTGGTAGAAAAACACCTCAATTTGATGGGCATCCAACGTATTAAAGATGATAACTCGCATTTGGGAACGTCAGATGGAGCCTAAGCACTCTTGTTGCCGAGGCTCAAAATATAAATAGTGACCCTCGTATTGTTATTTCCGTTTTTTTTATTTCATTTAAGCGTCCTTACTATTTTCTTTTGTATTGCAGTTCCAACCAGAAATTGCAGCTGGCCCAGCAGCAACTCCAAGCCGACTACGACAAGATCAAGTCGGAGGAGACCGAGAAGTCGCAGAAACTGCAGGAACTCATGTCAGTAGCACCTTCCATTAAACATCACCACTCACCACTCGATACTAACATCCTCCTCCATCAACAACAGAAACTCGATCAACTTCACGCTTCTAACCCTCGCACCACCCCCTGCCCCAACGCTAATGACCTTTACCCTTCCACCCCTATCAATAACACCAAAGGTCCCATCTGGGAGGATTTCATTCCCTATAAGAACGAGATACGATCCAAGATGGATAAGGAAGCCTTAAATAACGCGGCTAAGTGCAAGTTAGAGTCTGATAAAATGGTGACTGTGAATAGTTGCTCCATGTCTATATTCCACATTCATACGTTTCACTTGCATTTGTTTATTTCGTTGACGTTGTTGTTGGTGACGCATAGGTGTCCGCAATATTTGGTTGTCATTTAAAAACGTGATAGGGTCATCCGTAGTCTTAACCGGCTTTGGGGACTCCCAAAGATATAGTCAGTATTGGATTGTTTATTTGGACTTATTTTATTACATTTTCGTTAAGGCGGATACTACACATGATCATTCACTATGGCCCATTGTAGTCTACTCTCCAAGAATAAGCTCTAGCGAAACAATAGTAAAATTCAAAGTCTAGAAAAACTATTGCTAGACGAATGACATTACTAAATTGTCTATAATGTCTAAAAATATCAAATTTGTTTAACACCGTCGGGTGGAAAATTGCTGAAATAACGTTTAAGTAGGATCCTTTAAAATCTTTTGCAACAAGTAAAGTGTCGGATTATATTGATAGTTCTAATGTTCAGGGGTTTTGAACTTGATCCTTGATTCCCTCTACTGCTCGAAAATGAAGGAAATGCAATTTTTCATATCCTGGGTAAATTTTCTCATTGAAAAATATTCCAATGTTGCTTTCCTGTGGAAGTTACTTATTTAACGGATATGATGTTGTTGAATGCAATAGGAAAGGGCTTAATATTTTTCTATTGAATAGCATGTCAGACGACAACTTACTGAATGGTTATGTACTTCTCAAGGTCACTTTTTTTATACCGATGCAACAGCGCAAATACTAAATACGAAAGTTTGTTAATCCGATTTTTGAACTGTCTTGGGAAAAGCCTACTCAGGTAAATTTTTCCACAATATCGATACCCCAAGGACAAAAAAGAGGTCGTATCGGCCAGTTCTGGATGTACGAAGTTCGACAATGTTAGGATGGGAGTCCAAAGTCAACCGGAGATATTGTAGTTGGGGCGGCAGCACCCCAAACATGTGAGCAGTAATCGAGGCTAGGTCTTATCTGGATCCTGTACAGAGTGAGGAGGTCATGTGGAGAAAAGCTAATCTTAGTCCTAAACAAATAGCCTAGCTTTTTCGCACCAGTTGCCGCTATTGACGAGTTGTGTTCGTGCCAGATCAAGTGCTAGCTCATTAATCGAAGCCGGATGGGCGCTAGCGGGCTTCTTGTTAGTCAATGTATTTTGGAAATCATTAGACTGCACGAGATTATTGCGTCCTCAAAGGGTGATAACCTCCGGGTCCCTTGTCAGAGAGGAAGTCTTCTTCTCTTCAGCTTTCGGCTTGTCGCTCCGAATTCCTGCATGCAAAGTGCTGTCATCAGCAAAGCTATGGATTGGACTGATCATACAGGAAAGGAGGATGTTGATATGTAAGATGAACAATCTCGGAGTCCTGGGGAACACCCGGGTTGACATTGTGGGATGAAGAGGAGAGCCCGTGAATTACGACGGATATCTTGCGGCCAGAGAGGAAGGCAGCTCCCGATGTATGCACCTCTCCATCACCTTACTTATAACAGAAAGCAAAGCTATACGCCTGTATTAAGCGCCGTTCTTAGATCCTTTTTTGGGATGGGTTAGATATGAGCAAATTTCCAGTTTTCTGCGAGTGTGCTGGAGTCGTGATATATCTGGAAGAGACACGAAAGAACTGGAGCAAGCTCCGCTACACATCTCTTCAGTACAATGGCAGGAATCAAGTCCGGACTTGAAGCTTTGTTGATGTCGAGCAACAAGAACACCGGTCTTATGGTCTTATGCCTGAAGATTACTTCACTTTGGCATTGGCATCTTGGCAAGCATTTCCGAATTAGCCTTTGGGTCGGTTACAATCGTTCCATACTGGCAGGTAAGCAGTGGAAGGCTACTTTTTGAGAAGTTCTTTTCGATCTGCTTGGCCAGCGTCCAAAAAGACCAGCTACAATTGCGCTGCGACATTACCTTGTGCTCAATTTTTACAAAGTGATTGACTTTCTCTGGATCAGAGAATAAAAAACATGAGAAAGCATTTGATGTTTTCCAAAGAAGGATTTTTTATGTATCTTAATAGATCGATCACATATAAATCCATGATCCATCTCCATATCTACCAATGCAGTATTTCACAAGCTCAAACAATGATGTTGGACCAAAATTTGCGACTCTCAATAAATTGTGTATTATTCGCCTTACCCTAGATTAGTTTGAACGTTCCTTTTAGTGATGAAATCCTTCCAGTATTTTTCAATCAAACCTATTAACATCAATATATTTTAACAATTTTTTTTTTATTTTGGTTTGAATTTTGCTTCTTTATTTTTGGCATGTTGACACCTACACACACCCACGGTTTGGTTGAGTTTTATTTTGTGATATGAGATATACCCGAGTATATCTGAGTGAGATGAATGTTTCCTTCACTGCCAGATATGTTTTGTTTAATTTTTTCATGTTTTTTTTTTCATTTTTTATACAAAATTGTAACTGTAATTATAAGGGCGTTTTGTTTAAGACCATTTTGCATAAACAATCATTAGTTATTCACACTTAAATTTGGGAATCAGCTATTGATAAATTTTTTCAGTTCTTCAGTTACGTCGCAGCATATATAGGGGTTTGTTTCTATGATTACTGAAGCAAAATCCATCCAGTTATTTAACATGACAAAATGAAGGATGTTGATATGACCGTATTCCTAAAGCATCATGAGGATATTTTTTTAATAATCCTAATAGATTTTACGTGATAAAACTGAAGAATTGTTCGAAATTGACATGCATTTTAACGCGAATTAATATATTATTTTAATTTATATTGAATTATTATTTAATTGTATACTAGTGTGATGAATATTGAAAGTGAGACTTAACTGCCTTTGTATAGATTGAATCGTGCCTTAACTGTGTCACTGGTGTGGAAAACCAGCATTTGCGGATCAGCTTCATGCTATTTCACCATTATTGATTTTTGACCCTCTCTATATCCCCTATCTGAAGTATTTTCTATATAGCTGTTACCACTTTTAAGTTCCATGAAATTTTCTAGATATCAATGCTCAAAGTACTTATGCGAGGAATCAATATTAGAATTCTGAGACTCGGAGAAATATCGAAAATCATCAAAATGTATTCATACAACGTATCTCATTTTGACATGTTTAATAACCTATAGGATTTTGTATACACACGATGATTAGCAGCATTTTTTATTCAAATGTAGACTTGTAGCAAATACTTGTTGATTTGATAAATGGCACTGAGAAACTATTGACTTTTTTCAGCAAACAGTAATTTCAAAATCGTTCTTTGCAATATATACAAACATTCAGTAATTAGCATTATTCTGACAATATGAAGCCTTGCCTTTTTAGACAAGTAAAATAATATGCACTAAATGGTTTTAACAGGTAAAACTAATGCATTTCTGTAAAAATGTAAATATTATGTAAAAAATGGAGCTCTTCTGCGTATAAAAATGTGTAAATAACGCGTATATTTTTCCTTAGGAGGATCAGAATCGTTTGTTAATTAATGTTTAAGAAATGTTAGTATACTTGATATCTGAAATAACTACAGAACGACTTGAATCACTAAAAAGCACTTGGAATATTTACATTTTTACATTCGCGAGTTTTTAGTTTTTCAGAAGCCCTGTTACAACCTCATTTTGCTGTTTTAATCTCACATTTTATGTTGTCTCTCCCTGCATTACTAAGTAATGCAGGTGATGATAGGCACTTACAAAACGCCCGTTTGTTTCATATATCAAGTATACCGAGACAAAAATATATCATTGTTGTGCAATAATAAATCTAAGTGAATATAGGAACGTTCTGTGTACAAATCAAAATATATCAAAAGTTTATAATCATGAACTCAAAATCCTATAGGGGACGAATTATGTCAAGATGAGAATTAAGCACACGAGTTTTTTCTTCTATAAAATCTTGTCGTTCTAAAGTTTTGGAGGAGAGCAATCAGTTCTTATCATTATACTTCCTTGATTTTTCGATTTAGCTATGATTGGGAATAGGCTTATTTGTTTGAGAACCTTATCAATAATCATTAAGCAGATTGAAGAACTTGTCTTGTGTCTAGTAGTTCAGTCAGCTGTCGGATTTTGAGTGCCTCATTATACAATGAACTAAAGTAAAGATGTGATACAGTTGAAGTAGGCGTATTATAGATAATAATTTGATGCTAGTGATATGTCTTTTCATGTTCCTCTTGAGTTAACGAAGTAACTTCTATTTTACAATATATTTTTCTTTGATAATACTCCGCTTTGTTTCGAAGATACTAGAAGAAAAACATTTTAACAAATCGTTGGATCATGATAATCAGATCGACCTCACTTACGGCCTATTCAAGTTCCGGACCTCAATCTTCTAGATATTTGGGACCATCAATCATTCATTCATCCTTACTTAGGTATAACAATAGTCTTATCATATTAGCAAATTTCCCCGAAATAATTGTAAAGTCTGGTTTTATTTAAAACATGGACGCATAAAATGGGTACACCAATTTTTGTGGGAAAACTTTTTATTTGACAACAAAGAATGAGAAAACGTATTTTTTGGGATTCAATCGAACGTGTTGACAGAAACGAAAGGAATTTCATATGAGATTTTTAGGTATTTACGAGACCTACAAAATGAGACCACACGTGAAAAGATCCGACTAATAGCAATAATGTTACGGCGGAAAAACGAGGGCAAAATGCAGGGTTTGGCACTTGGTAATGCGACGATAATTTCACGCAACCACTTGAAATTCTTCAAATCCGTAGGATTCATACTTCTAAATAACAACAAGAAAATTGGCGTATATTGGTCAAGTAGTTTTTTGAGAATTTCTAATTGTTTATCCCAAAACACACGTTTTCCTGCCATCACTACTAGTTTATTCACAATATACAGGGTTGGCTCAAAGAGCATTTGATAGCAAAATAGACGTGTTTACCTTGCCGATATGAATCACAAAGCATTCCGAAAGATAAATGTTATTTTTATGCGAAAAACAAAGGTTGCGTTTTTTGCTTCTAAACAATTAAAACATTTCGCATTTGTGAGTAATTGAACAAATGCGCTACGATATTCGAAAAACATACGTTACTATACACATTTTAAAACAAAGCGGATGTGTCTATCATCTTTTGTTACGAATTATTCACAGATACGAAATGTTTGAATTTGTTTAGAAGAAAAAACGTAACCCATTCTTTTTTACATAAAAATAACATTTATCTTCCGGAATGGTTTGGGATTCATATCAGCAAGGTAAACTAGTGTATTTTGCTATAAAATGCCCTTTGAACTACCCTTGTATATTGCTCAATAAACTAGTAGTGATAGCCGGAAAACAGGTATTTTGGAATAAACAATAAGAAATTTTTAAAAACTGCTTCACCAACCTACTGCAATTTTGTTGTGGTTATTTAGAAGTACGAATCCTGCTAATTTGAAGAATTTCAAATATCTGCGAGAAACCATCGTCGCATTATCAAAAAGTGACAAAACCTGCAGTTTGCCTCGATTTTCGGCCATAACTTTTTTGCTATTAGTCGGATCTTATTACGTGTGGTCTCATTTTGTAGGTCTCATAAATACCTAAAAATCTTGTATGAAAAGTTTTTCCGTTCCTGCCAATACTTTCGATTGCCTCCTAAAAAACACGTTTTCTCATTCTTTGTTGTCGAATAAAAAATTTTCCCACAAAAACTGGTGTACCCATTTTATGCGTCCATGTTTTGAATAGTCCAGACTTTACAATTATTTCGCAAACCAGCGGTATTTTCGTCTAATATGATTAGAATAAAGTCAATATAGATCGAACTTAGCGTTTCTGAAAAAAAAAATGTGCGAATATTGGAACCTAGCACCCTGGAGGTAGTGCTTGATTACGGACACTGTAATTAAAAAGCTCCTGTGATTTTTATTGGTGAAACGTTACCACGTATCTTCACAACAAAGCAACTTGATATTAAAATATGTAGTTACTTCGAAACTCAAACAAATTTATTTTAACCCATTGGTAATCTATTATTCCAAACGTCTTTCAAGTGCAAAAGGTAATATTTTTTTGGTAGTATTAACTAAAAATCAAATTTGGTAATTGACAAACGAAATGAAACCTAACCAAACTTATCAACGCTCATTGGTGTGCTGCTTGTGGGTGGGTGAGAGTGTCTGTCGGTCAGTCTGTATGTGGTGATTATAAATTGTGTCCCGCTTAGTGCCACGAACGAGCGCAGAGAACAGGCGAGGAAAGACCTCAAGGGACTCGAAGACACTGTTGCCAAGGAGCTGCAGACTCTGCACAATCTCAGGAAGCTCTTCGTGCAGGATCTACAGGTAACAACCATAGAATTTCTTCCAAAGAGGCTTTCATATGTCTCAGATTAAGTGGTCAATATTTGATGCATATAAAACAAAAAATAACGGTACAAGAACTCGTCTTTTCTTGAATAACTCTCGAAGGTCATCGTGTAATTTAAGTTTTGACAGCATAACTACCAAATACAGTCAATTCGTCAATTATGTATTTATTATAATGTGACTTGTTGTTGTTTATGATTTGTAACAACACTTTTTTGATCGCAGCCAATATCAGCTTTGCTGGAGGCAGTTGTCGGAATTCTCTCTAGTCTGAGAATGGTATGATGCATTGTCAAGAACAATAACACAGTTGCTATTCATATTGGATAAAGTATTCTTGAACCATTCCTCATATGACGGGCGATCCATTTCTTCGTGGTAATCCGACGGTCTTTTAGATTTGAATGACTAGAGGGCATCAGAAACAAATTCATTTTCGCTGCCTTTTCCCTTTCCCTGGAGGATTTCTCAACCCGGTAGACAGTCCCTCCAGGACAGCCGGTCGAGATGATGTTACAGTGGTGTCTACTCAAAACATAGATCCCGTATGGCCAGCGTTTATCCATACCGTACGTATGGTTCTTTTTTCGCCCATGAAAGACTTCATTTTTCTGAGGGTAATCTCTTCTCCATAAGACAATGTCATCTCTATTAAAAAGTATACTCTGACGTTCTCGTTTTTCAACAGCTTATAAAAAGTGAGTGTGTACTCTTATACTCACGCTCTATAAACGCTCCGTTTGGATGCACTTATTTTTACCGCAACCGCCCCCACGATACTGTCAATAACAGCCCCTGTATTTTTCTGTGTTTTGTATCTATATACGTTCAGAATAACATCTTTGAGTCCCACGTCCAAGTGAAAATCTCTTTTGCATTAGGCCCGCATGAAAAAGAACATGTACAGCGAGGAGGCCGACGAAGAAGGAGGCTCCTTGGCCCAGAAACAGAAGATCTCCTTCCTGGAGAACAACCTGGACCAGCTGACCAAGGTGCACAAGCAGCTGGTGCGCGACAACGCTGATCTCCGATGCGAGCTGCCCAAGCTGGAGAAGAGATTGCGCGCCACCATGGAAAGAGTGAAGGCTCTCGAGACCGCGCTGAAGGAGGCCAAAGAGGGAGCTATGCGGGACAGGAAGAGGTATAGTGGTTTGCAGTTATTCTTACGTTTTGGCGAACCATAAATTTGTGCATGAAAATTCTGTCGGAAATTTTCCGTAATTATTTAGAGGTTTTATCTGGAAAGTTCGGAGATGTTGTGAAAATTTCATATCAATTTACCTTCCATGCCTACTATCAGGCAAGTATTGTAATTGCGAAGGTTTTTGAAAATGAGATATTATGTTTTTTGGATCTCCGCTAATCTGAATCTGAAATTCTGGCCAGTGGCGATAAACGAAAAAAATAGAAATCGCTTAAACCTCGTTTTTCAAGTTTCAGGGGCTCCTAATCAAGTTTTGGGAGTTAGGGATTGTAGCGAGTGAGGGAGGGTATTTGTCAATTTGGTGTATTTTCATCATACATATATTTCCACGTGCATTTACCCTTAAACCTCAAATATATCCAATAGCCGCATATAGACGTGTGCGCCTTAGTCCATCCGATGGACGTGCGTTGGAGTCGGCGGTCGCTGCTCGACTGCTGTGTATCTACTGTGGATGTGGAACGTGAACGATGATCGTGTGCGCCCGCAGGAAGTTTTTCTCAGGGGAGAGGGAGAGGGTCATTCAACGGCAGAATATAACTTTATGTGAAAGCGTTCCTGCCTCCACAAATCTTTTTGAAAACCGAGGCCAGCTTATTTTCTCAGGGGGAAGCTAATCCTAAAAAACGCAAACTTGTGCACAAAAGTATGCTAAATATGCAATTTTAATGTATGAGCCTGTTTGACTGGCTTGATCTAATTATTTTTTTCTCGTAAGGGCTAACTTGTACCGAACATAATTCTTTATGAACTGATGATAGCGTTGCGTGGGAATTGCAGAGTCAACCTTATATTGTTTTTCCAGATATCAATACGAAGTGGACCGAATCAAGGAAGCGGTACGCCAAAAGAACCTCGCTCGACGGGGCCCAGCCGCAACAATCGCGAAGCCAATCAGGGCCGGCCAACAACATCACGTGAACGTGAACGCAGTGCAAGGGGGAAGCCCGGGAGCTGTGGTCAGACCCATCAGGCCAAATTCCGGCGTCGACCCAGCAGAACAGCAGAAGCGCAGGTCCATCATCGTTGGGGATAAAGGTAAATGTCTCTGATAAGATACTGTTGATATTCTACTTTGTGTCCCAATAGGTACTTCTGGATTTTGTTTTTAAATAAAAAAAACAATTTTGAAAAAGTATCTTACTTATTGTTAGAATGTGTATATATACAAGATGTTCCTGTAATGATATGCGAATATTTAAGGGTGTGAATCTACATGAAAAATTAATGTTAGTTCGCTTTATAAACTATGGTCCAAAAATGTTTCCTTACAAAAACTGAGGGTGTTGAAGTTATAGGGAAAAAAATGGAAATTAATTAATATTTTCAGAACCGCTTCAGATATTTCACTGATATTTAGTGCGTAGTGAAAGTTAATAAAGTTGCATATTTTTCAATGCAAAAATAATTTTTAGCTTTAACACTGGCGTACGTACGGGTACGAGTATTGACTTCGATATTTTTTAAGAAATAAATGGTGCCAATGGTCTTTTCCCAAATAAAATTTTTTGAATTGTCCGTTCAATTTAAAACAAATGATTGATGAATTGTTTTCCTTCGATGCGCCATTTTTGAGTAAAAAAATAAAAACCATTCTATTGTAGGAGAAAATTAATTTAATAATTGAAGAATGCAATTCAGCAATAAACATCTAGTTGCTCTGGAATATGTCGCTGTCTTTTGACATCTGACAAGTCTCTGTTATTCAAATCTGTTCGCTGTGACATCTTTTTCATTATTTAGTTTTTACAATCTTGTTAATAATGAATTATTCAAATTCAGAAATGGCGGAAATGCATTACGTATATGGCCTTGCCGACGGTAATGGTGAGCAAGCCAGACGGATTTATCACCAGAGATATCTCGATCGTGCTTTGCCAGATAGTCGAACCTTTTCTAATATTCATCGTCGTCTTGTTGAAACTGGTTCTATCCGAAAAGGAACATCTGAAGATAGACCTCTAAGGGTGAGAACACCTGAAATTGGGGAAGCAGTGCTGCACGAAGTCAAAGAACATCCTGAAACGAGTACGAGGAAGATCGCTAGACACTTAAATATTTGCCATCAAATTGTTTTGAGAATTTTAGAGGATTTTTTGTTATATCCTTACCATATTTTAAGAGTACAGGCATGACTTCCCATTGATTTTCCAAGGCGTGTGACCTTTTGTCAGTGGTATCTTCAAAAAATTATACAAAATCCGCAATTTGAATCAATAATTCTGTTCACGGACGAAGCTAATTTTTCTCGAAATGCCATTCAGAATTTCCACAATAATCATTTGTGGGCAGAAGAAAATCCCTATGCCGTAACTGAAACCCATTTCCAACACCAATTTTCGGTTAACGTATGGGCAGGATTTATTGGCAACCACTTTATTGGCCCATTCTTCTTGCCAGGACGACTTGACGGACAGACTTACCTCAATTTTCTTCAACAACAGTTGCCTTTGCTGCTTGATGATGTTCCGTTAGTAATAAGAAAGATATGTGGTACATGCATGATGGTGCATCAGCGCATTTCAGTCTAGCGGTTCGTAATTATTTGAAAACTGTTTATCCAAATCGTTGGATTGGCCGCGGTGGACCCCAAGAATGGCCACTAAGGTCCCCAGACCTCAATAGTTTAGATTTCTTTTTGTGGGGCTATCTTAAGACACAGTCCCATTAACACTGTAGAGGAATTAAGTGAAAGAATAGTTGCAGCTTGTGATAGAATAAAAAACACTCCAGGGATATTTCAATGAGTGCGCAATTCCATGAGGAGAGCGGAAGCGTGCATACTAAGTGCAGTTTCAACAATTTTTGTAATCATTTCGTTGGTTTTAATGTTATGTTTATGTTGTCAGTTGTTGTTCATTACCTCTAATGTGTTTAATTTTTCCAATTAAATTAATAATAATTTTGCAAGTTAGACAATAGAACGATTTTTATTTTTTTACTCAAAAAAGACGCATCGAAGGAAAACAATGCAAGACAGATCATTTGTTTCAAATTGAAAGGGGAATTCAAAAATAATTTTTATTTGGCAAAAAACATTAGCATATCATTTAGTCAATACCGGTACGCACGCCACTGTTAAAGTTAAAAATTATTTTTGCTTTGAAAAATATGCAACTTTATTAACTTTCACTACGTACTAAATATCAGTGAAATATCTGAAGCGGTTCTGAAAATATTAATTAATTTCCACTTTTTTCCTAAAACTTCAACACCCCGAGTTTTTGTAAGGAAACATTTTTGGACCATAGTTTATAAAGCAAACTAACATAAATTTTCAAGTAGATTCACACCCTTCAATATTCGCATATCATTAAGGAACACCCTGTATATAGGATGATGCAGAGAAATGTGGCGACAAAAAAATCACAAAAATGTTTGTGTAAACATAAATCATTAAATGTTCCATTACCAATATACTATAGTGTCTACCCCACTGATTTTGAAGAAAGACGAATCATATAGAATTGAATATCTTATTCAAAAATACAATAGATGGTTCGATAGTCAGTGATGTAGAGAATAATTTTCTTTCTTTTGCAAAGGTTAAAATCTCCCAATTCGTACACCAACAGTCTCAGAAACAAATATTTTTGTATGTATTCAACTTCAACACCCTCTATCTCGGTAAGAGGGGTTTCAGGACTATATTTTATAATAACTTTTCGTGTTATTTTCGAACCTACTCTCTAGTTTCTACCCCAGAAATATTGCCTCGATTTTCTGAATCACACTATAATATTCTCCATTTCGCTCCCTCAGTTGTTGATGGCGGTTTTTCGACTACAATTTTCAGCAACCCTTTCGCACAATTTTGGCTCGATTTCACTATTAATGTGACACATGTTTTGGTGCAGGTCATTAATACTCTGCAGATTGCTTGAATACACTTTATCTTTGAGAATTTCGCAACAAAAATACCTAGCGTGGTTAGATTGCATGTGCTCGCAAGCCAATGGAGATCAATTACCATTGTGAAAAGTCACGCAGCCATCAGTTTATCATTATCATTTTCATGAAAAAATGAACTTCCTTAGACGTTTCTATAATTTCTCCGTCTTAAAACGATCGATATTATCTGTCCAGCAAAAGAATGCAAGGTCAAAGAACGCGGAAATAGCGATGATGTCAAACATTCCTTGAATAGGCCACCATGGTAAAGAGTCATTTCAACATGTGCTTTCGTTTGGCTAGAGAAGAGTTCTATTGTGCATGAAATATAGTTCTTGGGCTGTCATTTGGAATAGGTTCATTGAAAATATTACTGAATGCATGAAAACCATCTTCGCTGCTACATATACTCTTAAAGTAATTATATAATCGAAGGATTGTCAGCGACTGATATCAAATACCGCATAGGAGTAAATCATCATCAACTGACAATTGGGACAGTTTCTCTGGCGATACCGACACGCCTATCTTTCTGCGTCACTTCTAACCGTTTCCCGACTTGCGTTCTTTCGCTGTGCAGGTAATAATTAAATTTCTAGGTCACTAAGCGACACATGCGCATTATAACATTTTTTAGACATGTATGTGTTTTTTAGAAATGTATTATCGTGTAACGCATTCTCGTAGATGGCTACTGTCGAAATTTTAGCCGACTCGGACTCGTAGTTTTGTTTTGACGGCGTGTGGAAGCGGGGGCGCCCGCGGATTTTGGAAAAATCCTCCCGATAGCAAGCGTAACCGTGAGACCACTTCAGAGCAGTGTTTGACGCTGTTTAAGCGCTATCCGGAGGAGTTTCTGCGTCGTTTCGAGACCGTCGACAAAACATGGATCCACTGGTACACAACAGAGACCAAGGAACAGTCGAAATAGTGGACTTCACACGGCGAACGTGCTCGGAAAAAGGCGAAGACTGCCATATCTGCCGGAAAGATGATGGTCACCGTTTTCTGAAATTCACAAGGTATGATCTTCATCGACTACTCGGAGAAAGGGAAAACGGTCACAGGTCTCGTCTATGCGGAATTATTGGGCCGATTCGACGCTGAATTGCAGAAAAACGGCCCCATTTGGCGAAGAAAAACGACCTCTTCCATCATGCAACGTACGGGCTCGCACCTCGGCCGTCGCGACGCCCAAATTGGTCGAATTAAGCTAAGAACTGCTGCCCCATCCACCGTATTCTCCAGATTTGGGACTACGAGACTTCTTTCTGTTTCCAAACTCGAAAAAGTCGCAGAAATTTCGAGTCGAATGCAAACGTATTTTTCAGACGGGTTGAAGAAGTTGGAGCATCGCTGGATCATGTGTATCAGCTGAAATTGAGGAATAAATCGTCGCTTTTCCAAACTTTTTGTTTTCCTTGTGTAGGCTAAGCAGCTATCGGACCGGCAACATAATATGTTACCATTGGATTATTATTACATTGTACTTCCAATTATATTTTTTTCTTTCAGAGTGAGAAGCCACGTCCGCTTTTCGTCGCCACCGATCAGCGCTGGTGCTTTAACCACAAGAGTAAACCGTGTCGTAGGAGCAAATTTGTAATTTAATATTATCGTTATAATGGATACGCGTAATTGGTATATTCCCACAATCACACAAAAAACGTATGAATACCAAAAAAATATTGCCTGCTACTGCAATGTGGCATCGCATCTCATTCTAGAAAGTCAACCGACGGATGTGACTGAAAGATTGCTCGCAAAACGAAAGAGGATGACGTAACCAATTTAGATGTAAACTGAAATGATAATTTTTTAATGGATATTCGGGGCGTTTCGTTTTGTGGTCTTTTGGTCACCATCCGAGAACTCACGGGCGATGATTCGATGTGCTTTCAGCTTAGGGGTTGTGTTGTTATATCCATTTCTCAAATTAGCAATAAGGTGCACCCACACTGCTATTGATTCAGTTGACAGGCGGAAACAGTTAGACATGTTCCAATAAAGGTGATGCTGACACAAGAAAGACCAATAGATCCCGACCTCTAGCCCCAAGTCCATGGTTCAAATGCAGTCTTTATCAATGTTTGAATAATTTTGTTTGCATGATTTTGACTGTCATATTAACGAACAAACGCATGTTGACAGTGATAGAGTTTATTGCCAACATTCAATTTGCTGCAATGCTATGGAGTAAGTATACCGTAAGGAAAACACCGTTCTCATTACTCTTACACTAATTTATAATGCTTGCAACTATTTTGTGACAAATTTATAACCATGTCAACTGGACTTGTCGCGTCGGTCGCTACCCGTTGACTGTCCTTTCCTGTCATCACGATTTTATATTTTGAAATCGACCAACCGAGAAGTTTTCCATCGCTTTTGTCGAAGTTCCAGACAATGCCAATCCCGAAATCGGCAGAACGCTTTCGAACGTGAAATAAAGCTCTATAAGGCCGCAATCGCCCGCACGCAGACGCGTAACCCTGGTTGCCTAAGCGTTGTCGACGGGTACTGGTTGGTTAAATTTTGATGTAAACTGCATTTGGCTTACGGAGCACAAGAAGGTTTATGGGATCTTGGCCTATGGTAATGGGAGGGTGAGAAACCCATCTGCAGCTGTCTTTTTCTAAGAGCATGATAATTTTTGGAACGTCATATGAACATCAAATGAGCAAAATATAGAAAACAAGATGATACGTCACCTATTCTTCCACAAATTTGTTTTTATTGATTTTTTGTACGAGGACCATTGCCGTAAACCTTTAACGTTGTCGAATAAGTTGTTAGAAATGTCCGCGACCTTTATAGAGATTATTAACTGTTTTTGTGTACCAATCGTAATTACCGTTACTAAAAATTTGTTCGGCTTTATGCAATTTTTAATTACTCCAAATTTTTATTTATGTGGTTGAGATTTTACGGCAACTGGCGTAAAAATATACGTTAGATTTTTTATATTTCGTTCTGAAATCGTAATTTTAACACAGCATGCACTTTGGCAAAGTATTATAATACAGCACCCACACGATATCCAATTTTTGTTTCTTCTTATTTAGCATTTTTTGTAGATCCTTGCTTCTATTGTAAGGCTATTTTGATATTTTGTACTTTACTACCTTAAGTATTAAAATGAAAAATATACAGTTGCATTTCATACAAAGTCCGTTTATATCCAAGGCAAGTAGTAGTTGTTAACCTAGAATACTACACTTGCACCTGAGTGATTTACTAATTTCTATCAAAATTCTGTAAAACAGGATTACCTACATGGAACAATTTTGAACAATTTATTGTTTATCGATGTGCAGGGATTCAAATTTATATTCTGCCAACATACGTAATTGAAGTCGCAGTTTTTCAAATGATTTTTTTATAAAGCCATGCTAGCATCGATCAGAAACTAGTTGTATTTGTTACCTTTGCTGTGGAGAAATTTTTGACTAGCCGCGTATATCAAGTTTTAAATTTGCTTAGTCGTATTCAAAGTGCAGCTATCAACTATATTTAAGTGAAAATATAGTTGATAGCTGCCCATAATAACCCACAGCTTATGATTACACGACGCATGTGTTATTTAATTTCATAAAAAAATTACTTCAATTTAAAACCCTGCACATGGAAGTATGGAATGTTTTTTCTTTGCTAAAAGAATTATTGTAACGCTATGCTATGTATATAATTTTGGTAGGGTTCACAGTCTAGATCTAGGAGAAACGTGGAGTGCCAGCTTGACCAGATCAAGTTTGAGAGCGACTCCCAAAAGATAATAAAATATAAAAAAAAAACTTTGTTGTAAGTACAGTAATTACTATACAAGTGTAAACATTTCTTGTTCAAATGCGAAAAGTTTTTAAATTTTTTTCAACATGTTTTATGACACGTTTTTTGAAGAATGCAAAAAAATCGTAACAAGTTTGTGATAGATATAAAACAAATGCGTTTATGCCAGAAGATGCTTGCCCACTGAGGCGAGGAGAATTACAGCAACATTTTTGTTGGTTCGAATCTCCGCCTCGGAAGTTAACCTCGTTTCTATATTACGCACAATCGGTGCAAGATCATCGTAGGTGGAGATGGTTTAATCGACAATGGCTTACCAGTAAATGGCTTGTGGTGAATGAATGAATCATGAAATTAGAGGCATCCCGGCCACCATAAGGAGACAGTGCATAGGCCGGTTAAACCGGGCCTTATGCATCTCTACATTCCTTAGACCTCAAGCCTCGCCTTTCTAGCAAAGTTGAGAATGGCCTTGAGTCCAAGCTCCTTGACGTCCTGAGGGTCCAGGACCCCAGTATAGTAGCTTAGAGCTTCACTGCGACACAGAACGTACGCCGAGGTATCTTCCTCTACCCCGCAGCGCTTACATAAGGGTTCCTCAGCCACCCCCATCACGTGCAGGTGCCGCCTCAACGTGTTATAGCTAGACAACAGTCCCACCAGCAACCTTATTTTGGTTCTATCCAGAGATAGGCAGAAACTCCATCCTTAGCGCTGGGCCCTACAATGAGTTCCCGTGCCTGGCGGAGATGGCTGGAGATACTTCTCCATTTGTTGCAATCCACGTTTCCATTTTCTTCCTAACTTTTTGCGCAGGCACTCCTAAAGTTGGCTCAGAACCAACAAGCTTGCTGGCTGATCCTGTCTTCGCCATTGCGACCGCTGTCTCATTGCCCCTTACCCCGGCATGCCCCGGTACACACATTAACGATACCGGATGCCTTGCAATACTAATCTCCGCCTCGGAAGTTAATCTCGAGCCATGGATGTTGTGTTATTTTCTGTACTACGCACGAGCGGTGCAAGATCAACATAGGTACATCACATCGTTGGAGCTGGTTTATTCGATAATGGCTTACCAGTAGACGGCTTGTGGTAGTACAATGTTGATACTGTGGGGTCGGTAAAAAGGTCAAAGATGGCCTAGTTGCCTAGCTTTCCCTACCCAGCACTACTATAACTACACCTGTCATTTGCACCTGTCAAATGTGACACGTCGGCCCAATGTTCGGGCTCTAATTTGATTACGGGTAAAGCTCAGCGGAAATGTTTTGCTTAAAAACATCCTGTCATCAGTAGTCGTGCAAAAATGTAGTAAATTGAAAGAAGCCAGCGAGTAAACATATTGCTGATGTACAGCGAGATTAAATAAATATGAACGCCCTATACATAGCAGTATAGGTGCCAAAGCATCATGGCATTGTAGTGTGAAGTTTCTGGCACTAATGTTTCCTAAGAGAACGTACCAAATCGCAATAAGTGTTTCAAAAGACATTCGATTCGAGTTATTTGTCATAAAAAGGAACAGAAATGTCTGCACTAGAATATGGGATTAAGAGGGTACTTTACAGTTTTATTATTGTGATACAGACGTGTTACTGTGCTGCATATATTAGTTTGCGTCTTTGTTCTTCCTTGCCTGCTCATGCACGACGAAATTATTTTATATTTTTTCGAGAGTCACTGCTATTTTCTATATACAAATATATATATTTTGTTATGTATTGTATGCTTATGTAAATTTTGAAATCTGGTGCACAATTTTATCTCATTTTACCTAGAGTCGATATATTGGGTATACAGGATGTTTGGTCAACATGCAAAAATACTAACAGTAGTCATATTTCACTTATATTATTTTTATAATATTAATCTACTAGGCCCAATGTCCCAAATTTTTGATGATCCAGTAAACCCTTGGTTCAGATGTAGTTATTATCAAAGTTCTCATCAAAAAGACGTTAAACTTGGGTTGCCCACCCCAGCCTGTTGCAGATGCGTTCGATTTCAGTCATGTCGACTAACAAATACGTGATTACCTGAATCTTGTAGCGTTTGCAAAACTAAAAGTTGTAAAATGCGATACTGTTTGACATTTGACAACACTAGCACGAGCTCCTCCAGGTTGCGCGATATTAAAGAACATGAATATATACACAGGTTTTGACAAAAGAACATAAAATAGCACCAGTACAAAATTAGTTTCGCCAAAAGAAAACGCTATTTGGCAATGATAATAATTGTTAGTTGAGATATCGCCGGTCAAAAATATACAAACTTGAACTGAGATTAAACGCATTTGCGGCAGGCTAGAGTAGACAATGCTTTCTCTTTTAACAATCTAAGGTATCATTTGCTTTTGGGATATGGGTTTATTGCGATATGCGCATAATAATAATTCAGTTTCCTATGACAAATGACTGCATTTTGACTTAAGGGAAGGAGTACCAAACATCCTGTGTCTATAAACCTGATTGGTTTTACTGTGCTGATCCTAGCAATTGATTTTTCTGTGGTAGACTATCGATTATAAATACATGTTTGATAGTGGCTGATGTCGCTACTGCCCGCTTTTGAGGTCGTCAACTACTTGACAGATGCAATTTACCCCTATTTATTATTTAAATCGTCAAAGTTATTATATATATTCTAATGAACTTACTGAAAAAAGTCACTGTTGTTTCTTTTACTCCCTCTTCCTTCTATCCCTTGGACTTTACTTCCTACTCAATCAGGTGGGGGAAGTAGGAAATAGTCCCGAGAAATCCCTGTCTCGGAAGTTCCATTTTTTTTCCACAGAAAGCAGGCAATTAAAACAGCTATAACATCTACTACGATAGTTTCATCTGGAGTTCCGCAGGTTCCAGTTCTGGGCCCTCTGCTGTATACATTGATATTTTTGTTTGTATCCTTTTCTTGGTTCTTTTGTGTATACTTAATTTGTTTTTTCGTTATTCGCACGGGGTTAAGCGTAAGAGTAGCCCTGTCGCTAAAGTTCCACTCTGATGTGCTCCAATAAAGTTCTTTATTGCAGTGGGCCCGCGATAATCAGGACCCTGTCTAATCTGCCACCCCCTGTAATCCGTCACGCGGACATAAAAATGTCAGCAAATCTTCGCTAATATAATGCATGATTGGATAGGATATAACTTGTACGCGCCACCTATTGTGAAATCGTATTAGTCTCCTAATACACTAAAAACAGTTTTTAATGCCAAACTTTACTGATTTCTGCGTATTTCAGAAGTAGAATGTAGGTTTTTTATGTGGATTTTAACTCGAGCATTCAATTTCTCACCGAGGAGGAATTGTTTGACAAACATTTCTTAAGAGAGGTACCTCATATAAAACTGAATACCTTTTAAAAAAATGCAGTAGATTTTTCAAAACAGTGACGTAGAAGAGATTGTCAATTTCTTCTGAAGTGATCAAAATTTCCTAATTTCTACGCCACTGTAGTCTCTGAACCATTTTTTTTTAATTCAGTATCATGATATAACCCGAAGATTATAACTTCAACATCTTGTTGGTAAGGGGAAATTTCGGTACCCCCGTTTATATTAACTTTTCGTATTTTATTTTTTGGCCCACTTTATTTCCTAAAAATATTGCCACGTTTCTGAATTACTCTGTTTTTCTTCATATTTTTATAATTTTCTAAATACTCTATTAAATTTTGTTATAATGCAGAGCGTACAATTTTGATGGTTAAGCTTTTTTATTTAAGCAATGCAATCGAAAATATTTCAGGCAAATCCGTTCAGTGGAACAAGGATTTTTATATCTTACGGCACTCCATTATTTTCTAGTTTATTGAGAATATTATTATAATAAATACTACGAGGAAATGGAATGCCGTTTTTCAAAAATAAAACCAATTAATATGCCAAACCATTGATTATGGCTGCGATGTCGAATTTTGCTCTCGCTAGGCGACGCTTGTATGTTTGTGAGTCAAACCAGCAAAAGTGGATGGGAAAAAGACATATTTTAAATAAAGGTAAGCTATTCTTCACAACTTCAATGCGTTTTGAAATTTATGGGCGTGAGCAGGTCATCAGCAATTAGGAAGTCACCTATAGTCGAAAACACTGCTAGTTTCGCTTTCATATAAAATAGTATAACTGACATCTTTCAAAGTTATGACATTGTGTGTGTTCTGCATAAAATGGAAGGCTTTCTGCGTTCCGATTCCACTAATCTTACAAAGGTGAACATAATAATGGTTAAAATCATTAACATTCATAATTTAGTCCACACACGATCGAAGCCACAGTTGTTAAAAGTACGTAAAATATGAGCCAAAATTAGAATGATTCACCAATTTTTACAAAAAAAATCCTCTTCTACATTTTCTAGGTCGGTGATAACGAAAATGACAATTTGTCTAAGATAAAAATTGCGGATTTAATATATCTTTGCAAAAAAAAAAATTTGGTTGAGCTTAAATTTAAGTTTTAGATATTTTCAGGGTCGCTATAACGATCTTGATATCGATTGTTCAAAAATCGAATTGCCGGTTGTAGTATGGCGGGGCTATGTTTGAAAAAAAATATTGTGATCGCGCCCAAAATTATGTTTCAAGTATTCACGAATTAAATAATATCGATTCTTAAAAAATCTAAATGTCGGATCCAGTATGACGGCTATCTTTAAAAAAAATGTAGATTGCGCTAAAGTTAGTTAATTATGTTTTCAAGGTATACTTGATGCATTATTGTATAATGTCGCATAACTGCTAAACTTGAAGTCAGCTGCAGCCAAACTTGACGTATTTCTTAACAGTCTATCTGACAAACATGTTAGTATTTGAAATATGCAAGAGTCCAATGGGTTATTTTAAACTCTTAGAATTCAAAAATATGAATTTACGTATTGATGTCGATTTGCAAGTAATACATAATAACTATACATACCCTCGACTCCGCAATCCATTTTGCCACATCTCAATACAGCTAGTTATTTTAAAACGAGACACTATTCAATTATACAATTTTTTGCAATTTTGGCAAGGTCTTTTTATCCCTAAAATATGCTTATGCATCTCCACGTCGACACAGGAAGGGTTCAACGGGCATTCCCTCTCTAGCCACAATATGATCACTATAATAGTATTCACATTATCTCGAAACAAAAGCAATAGTCAAATCTATCCCCGTTCTCATTTACACCATTTATCCATCATAATAGGCACATTCACTAGTTCAGGGACCGGCACAAAGGTCGGACGGTTTTTAAAAAATCACAAAATCGATAATTTTTAGTCAAAAACAAACTTATTGACGGATTCAGGTTCACAATGAAATAGCGTTTGTCACAATTAAGTGTGGGAAATCACATCAGTCATGTGGTGACGGTTTTTGAGGATGCATTGCTAGAGGCGTACTTGAAAGTTCGCGTAGACTGTTTCCAACATCGGTCTCTGAACTTGGGCGACTTCCAACGTGAATTGCCTCCTTCAACTCGCCCAGAGTTCGGGGCTTGTGCTCGTATACACGAACCTTGATGAAAGTAGGAAAAAGTCGCAGATGGATAAATCTGGGGTCCGAGGAGGCCAACAAACATCACCAAACTTGGAAATAAGGTGACCACGGAAGAGGGCGAATAACGTTCATCTTTGTCCTGGCGGTGTGGGCGGTCGCTCCGTCCTGTTGGAACCACTCACGTCGGAATGGAACATGTCGTCGTCGTAATTCAGGTGAAGTGAAGTTGGTGATCATTTCAACATTGCGTAAGAGTTCACGGTAACAGCATTGCCATTACCGTCTTAGAGGAAGTAAGGCCCGATAATGCAAGTTTGAGATACAGCGCACCAAACCGTCACTTTTGGCGTGTGCAGCGGTCTTTCATGTAACTGTCGCGGATTTTCATTAGCCCAATAACCGCAATTTTACCGATTAACCATGCCAGATGAGAGTGAGCATCACTCATGAACAAAATGAGGTTCTCATTTTGCTCGATAAGTGCTTCCATCTCACGTGCGTAATCTTCAGGCATGTTGCATAATGGCCAATTTGTAGGAGTGAAAGTGGAGTTCCATATGCAAAATACGCCTTCCCGAACGATCACCGAGGCCAAGTTCAGCAGCATGTTGCCGAGCAGATCGACCCGGACTGCGAAGGATAGCTTGTAGAAGGCGTTCCACATTTTCACAAGCTCGAACCGTTCGCGGAGCTCCTGGTAGTCTTTTGTTGATGAGTACACCACGTGGAGAAGTGATTGAACCCAACAAAGGGTGGTGTTTCGAGAAGAAACAGCTCGATTCCGTTGAATATTGAAGTGGCGACGAAACTCACGCTGTACAGCCTTGATAGACACTGTCGGACAAAACTCACCCAGCGGAGAGTACTAGCCATTTCAAAAACATCCGTCCTTTGTGTCGGTCCCTGTATTTATTTTGATCCTCTTTTACTAACATTAAAAAATGATAGTTACAATGATACTTCCGAAAGAGGCGTTCCTGTCCCTGTTTATTTTCCTCTGCACAAGTCCATTCTAATCCTCCTGCTTTGGTATAGGTAAACATGTTTTTCTGGAGCTTATCTGTCTGTATTTGTACACTTAGATACAATGCAATATCGATGATATTATCAATTTTTTACCCATTTTTATCGCAAATATTCAAAAACATTTTTCAATGATGTACTTCACTTGGATTATCATTTTTAATCTATCCGACGACATCGGCTACTTCCGTTCGAGCTGAAGATGTCTAATTCTGGACAAAGTGGCATATTCTTGGCCCAAAAATCGGGAGAAATTCCGAAAATCCACACATAGGTTGTGATTCGATGACAGCAGATTGCGTAAGAAAGAAAATTCTGATGCTAGTTTGATTTTGTATTGCAATATAAAATTTACATGGTACGTATGTATACTCTTCTTTACGAAAAATGAAAATAGTCTGATATTACACTAAAGTACCTTAAAATACTGTTACAATATGTACACTTTTACAATCATATATCACTAGCAAATATAAAATATATATGGCAACTCTGTTAACACAGTTAAATTCAATAACTTCACCTAGTTTTATCAGGGTTTTCTAATTACAATTGCATTTCCTAACAGGATAATCTTAAAGTTAATCCCAAAAAAATACTGTCAGGCTACAAAGTCAATGTTTTGTTCGATATTTAATAAGTAGAAAGATATATTTCTACTAAGGTTGTTCGTTTCTAAAAAATCACGATGGTATTACATGGTGTCCCAGCCGTGCGAGGAAGGCGTATTGTTCCTTAACAATGCTTTCAAAAAAAACTATTTATGGATTGAACAAACGTATAAAACAAAATGTATATTAAACAAGCTCCGGTAGTGAGAATTTAATTATTTTGCTAAGACGTATATTTTGTTTCAGATCATTAAAAAAATGGATAAATTGAGTAAAGTAGAAATTTTTTGAGGCAAAATTCACGGTCACCTTTCAACATAGCATATCTGCAGGCAGTCAAATTTTGATGTTTTTTATATAAAATATTCATTCAATAACCAATAACCAAGACCCGAAAGTATTTTATATATCTTGTTCCTTAAAATGGTCTATCTGAATGTGTAATAAAAAGTACAGCATTTAATTTAAGAAAAATCAACTTTGATATGTGGCTCAAAATTGGGACTCCCTGAATATTTTAGAAATATGCCTCCAGTTACCACAAATAATAACCCATA